TGCGACAAAGGCTACCCAATCTTGCGCTAGGTGGAACATGATCCTCCATTTTCTTTCGTATCCTAGAAGGTCCTAGAAAACATACTTCCAGTAGTGATAGCTTCCCTTAAAAAACGAACATGGGTAGGCAATAATGACATGGCGTTCAACAAGTGGAAGTTACTCTGCTTCGCTTTACCAAAGCAAGTTGCATGAATTCATCCCTCCCCATCCAGCAACCTGAGGCGAATCGGTCCCTGAAGCAAGCGCCTTGAGTGGCGAAGCCAGCGGTGCGCTCTTGGAGCCCCGGGTGGCTTGCGACTTGGACCTTGGAGCTTCAATCGAGATATGATCGTGCTGGGCTGGGAATCCTATCTAGGTCCTCCAGATTCGAGAGGTAGGAATAAGGGTACCAACTTTGTTCTGTAGTCTATTTTAGTAGGGGAACCTTCCCTAGAAATCCACAAGTTGGTCTGCTTCCGTTGGGTTTTCCTTTAAAAACCGAAGTTTGGTACCAACTCAAGAAAAATACACGCCAGGGCCTGCTGGCAACACAACCGTGCATCTTGCAAGCATGTGCATGTCAAACCCATTTAGGCTAATGTGTCTCCTACTTGCCTCCAAGCTTTGCTTTTTGACGCAGGTTCGATGCAACGTCAACCGCTTCCAACAGAATCTACAAAGGGGGCTTCGGTCCACCAAAACCGACCATGCATCTACAAAGACGACACCCGTCGACATTGAAAACGCCCCGCAACCGCAAATGATCATTCTTTGCTGGCAGGTCAGTCGGTCGTGGTCTGTTGCTTGGGGGGAAGACCGATTCCGTCCTGGGCTCTCACAAGGAAGCCATGCGAACCTCGGACATGCTGTTGCCCGTATACGGAAATCATAGAGAGCACCCCAGGTTTCTGCCCGGTCACTCCCAAGTTGACTAGACACTACTGGATGTGTTGACCGAACCTCAGATGTGTTGCATCTTCCCTGGGAAACTTCCAAGGAGGCACATTAACCGCTTTAACCCCTCAAGCAGCCATCAAAGGGTACCGAGTAACCCTCAGATTCCTGCTCTTTCCCTCGTCCCCTCATCATCATAAAAACTAGGACAGGAATCTCTATATATATAATATTATGTATATACCTGGGTCTTCCAACATGTGCAAAATTATAGCTGTTACGTGGTACCCTCTCCGTGGACCTAGGTTTCTGCCTTTAGCCTTGCTGTCTCCCATGTTTCATGCAATCTATAAATACATCGATCTATACCTGTTCATCCTAAGCCGCATGCTAGGCTTGCGCTCACCCGGTGCATTCGCTCAGCCGCAAGCGAAGAACTTGCCGCCGTGGCGCAGGGCTGCAGCGCCGGGAAAGGACATGGTGCTGCAGATCCTCGGGACTCGGTGAAATCCGAGCGGGGCACCTGCCGGATTAGATGGCCACGTGCTTAGGTAACAGGTTTTGCTTGTGTTTATATTGGTGCTTCTTTTTTGGTGCTATATTTTTTGTGTTTTTTGTTTGTGTGTGTGTGTTTGTCTAAAAAACATATTTAAAAAAGAAGAAGAAACAAACACAAAGGAACAGACATGTGGGTTGATCAACAGGTCCGACGAACATCGGGGTGACCATTCAGGGGAACCACCAAACGAGATTTGACTTTTCAAATCTGATCAACCCCCAAAATGTTGTTGAGTGGTTTCCGTACTTGCGGATCTGACACCCTGCAAAATTGAAGGTGTTGCTGGTTAGGCATGCTGCATGAAACGAAAAAGGGTAAAGAGGCAAATTCGAGTACTGGCAATGAAAACATCTCCTGCCACCACCCACCCACACACCCACCCACCCACCCACCTACCCCAAAGCACAATTCCGTTCTTGGTCTAATTGAGTCTTGCCCCCTTGGGGTGTGTGTTTGGAGTGTGTTTGGGTCGCGTTGTTGGAGACATGAACCAACTTCTCTACCGGAAGTGCGCTCAACAACCGCCGTTTTGGGTCGATTTGCTTGAGATTGGTTTCCGTCGAAAAGGGTGGCCTGGATTGGTGGTCTGGAGGTTGGGTGGCTTCTCAAGCACATCAAAGCCTGAAACGGGTTGTTTTAGATCCGATTTGCAATCCCGGGAAAAGAACCCGAAGTTCCCTTTCCATTGGGTAAAATCTCGGTTGCCAACTAGTTGACGCCTCAAGAAGCTTGAAGCCATGAATTGCCTGCCCTGGACCTGGCAACTCAAAGATGAGCAGAGCCCGACAAAAAGGAACAGGGGTCACTGGTTTACTGCCAAGAGTGTGGAGGTTCCAAAAAAGGAAATAGAGGAAACGCAGAACATTCAAAGAAACCAACACAGTGAAGTTCAGTCTGGGCCCCCATTCAGGTTGATCTCCCATTTTTGGCCTCGCTCGCTCTGATATGACCTCGTTTCCGAACATGTTGACATGGGTCATGTCCTGAAACTGAACATGTCTTAACTCCGCGGGCTGAAGTCCGGCCCCCCCCCCAAAAAAAAAGGAGAAGGAAGAAACAAAGTGGTGAAAGATGAGGGGAAACTAAACAGATATTATTCAGCAAATGGAAGACGCATTGAAACTCACCCTATTGGACATGCTAGTGGCCGCGCAATATCGACCATACTTCAAACCTCAAGCTAACGGGAAACTCGGGTCGAGACTTTTCGGGCCGCGCACGTTGTTCTCGCTGTCTTTGGGCCGCAAATAACTCTCCCGTCCCCAAACTCAATGAATTGCGGTCCGAAACCACAAAGCTTAGTTACGCCTCTTGTAGTTCTACTTCTCCGTGTGACCCGAATCCGAAATATCAGAAGCTCAAGTCACTTGTGGTCCCACATCCCAAGTACACGGACCACGCTCAGAACTTCAGAGCTTCATTTCAAGGGCCCATACCGAAGTCGGAACCCGCGTGGGCGTGCAGAAATTGGCGTGGGTCCCAGTGGGCGTACTGCAAGGAACTCCGCAGGGGCAGGGTTCAGGGCAGTGGTCGGCCTGGCTATCAACATACCATGGTTCTTTTTTTGTAAATCCCCTATGAATTCTACTGGCCTCAAAGATGGCTGGTGGACATGAATCCCAGGGAGGTGTCCACCAAAGGGTCCCTAATTATGTTATTAGCTTGTTTGAGCTGGTTTTCACAAACATCCGGAAGGAAAGCTATGTTTGGGGGGGGGCTCTCCATTTCGGCACATACCCAAGTGGATATAACCATGACTCCTCACATCTTAAAGTCTTATCAAATTCCAGTCGCAATCGGTCCGAGTCGCTCCACAAAGAGCGCGTCCCGAAGTTGCGCCTGCGTCGATGCGTCCAGCTCCTTCAGTGCTTGGCACCACTTCTCCAGGCTACCTGCATCAATTTTTTGGTTCGGGTAGCAGGGACTCGGATGGCAGATCCTTTTGCGTGTTGAAAGGGAAAATGGAGCAAGACCAAAAAGGCGAAACCTGAAACCGGACGGACATCCGCCCAAATTGAAACCAGACCGAGAAACTTGGGGTTGGCTTCCTTCCCTCCACCTCAAGGGATTCACCGTGTTGGCCGAGAAAAAAAAGAAAGAAAGCTGAACCCTTTCTCACATGCCCAACAAAAATCTGCACAGGTAACCAGAACAAAAACAAAAAACATTGGGTTCCTCCAAGCCACCAAGAAAAAACATCTCGCGTGATCGATCCATCGATGCTCCCACATCAGACCAGAACGAGCCGAACTGAGTTCACCCGTCAGGTCAGAAGCTCGATACGCCGAGCTCGTGATCTCAAATTTTCCGTTCACGAGCTCTTTTGGAGAAAGGGGAACCCTCCATTTGCGGAAATCACCTCAAAAACAATACACACATACACACAATATATGCGTAAAAAAAAACAGAGTCCATTCATGTTGTTTTAATTAAGTCACAGAGTCCGAATCTAAAACCAAGAGGGAAAATATAAACACAAGTCCTGGAACAAAGTAAAAGGAACCCCCTTAAGGTGTCTTAGGGACCTGCCGTGCTTCATGAGAACTGCTTGAACCACAACCAGTTTTGGGCCGCATGCTTTAGCAACGGCTGTACGCTGCTGCTTTAGCGGCTTCCTTTGGGCCGGACAACTGCGGCCAGTACACACTTCCTTACTTCGGTTTCTACTTCCTGCAGATTCGAGAGGTTGGAATAAGGGTGCCAACTCTTTTTTCTGTCTACTTTAGTAGGGGAACCCAAAACCCCAAGAAAGAAACGGTAAAAGGGCACTACTGGGGGACCTAGGTTTGGGTTCCCCCCCTTCCAGACTTAGATCTCTTGCAACAACTTGATCTTTGTTGGTCAAAGGGACCCCTGAAGCAAAGCCAAACGGGCAAACCATCAGCTAAGTCCGTCCATCTCAAAAGGGCGAACAGGGCCTGCCGGCTCCGCGCCTATCACCTCGTCCCTTTGCCGTGCCAGCATTTGCTCCGCGTTGGCTTCCGCGACCATGGCGCGACACGTGAGGAAAATTTGCCTTGGGCGCGTGGCTTCGCGGTTCTGCGATGCGAACAACAGATACGTACGTCGCATGTCCAGCATCTTGGCGTAAATAACATTTGTACAAATCGAGAGAGACTTGAGTGAAAGGATGTGCGACTCCTTCTCTAAGTCCAATCCGAGATGTCCCGTGGCTTGGGTTCTGCCGAGATAGCTCTTGAGCCAAAGGCGTCACAAACAGGCGACAACCGTATCGGATCCAGGCTGCCTATCATGGAAGATATCCCCACAAAAAAATTGCAGTCAAGCCAAAAATAAAAATACAACGCCTCGTTGGGGGTCCCCTCATTTCAGGACAGAAAACGGAGGCCTGGGGGTTGTCTCTTGTATGGACCGATCAAGGTTTCAGGAACCCTTCCCAGTAGCCTCCTTTGGGGCCTCCCCAAAGAACAAAGCGGAAACGACGGGTACACGGGGAAAACATCTTCAGATTCCATTTCATATCTACAACTTAGTCTGACCTAAAATCGCAACAATGCTTTGGAGAAGACGCCAGAGCAGGTTTCGGAAAAGCACAGCCACCCGCCTTCTGCTCGTGCTTATGGCCAGACACGATGAGGTCAATGCCGGCCGAGCGGGCGATGTCCTGCGAATCGGCAGCGGCCCTTCAAGCACCAACCGAAGCTAGGGGCACAATCAACCCAAAGCTAAACTCGGTTGCTTTCTGCTCCCCTGCTAAAAGTTTAACTTTTCGTGGTTTAATGGACAACCCATTGGTGGGCAAAAAGTTAAAGTCCTAACATCCAAGCAAAATGCAACAATGCCAAAGCAAGGTTTGCTGCATGTCAAGCATCACCCCAACAGGTGGAACACTTCATCACAGCTTGCCCACAAGGTTGTGTTCACGCTGGCAAAACATTCGAACTACTTACACATAAATACGATATGGGGCGTTCAGTTGTCTTTTATTCACCCTTTCACTTCGGTGGAGATTCATGCCCAGCAATCATTGTTTAGGTGGTTCCCAAGTACATTCCAAGGCCGTACAGTCAAAAACAGACAAACGAACGATGTGAACGCTCCAAATAGAATCTTTGTCCAACCATCTAAGAAATTAGCCAACTGATATCCTAGAGAACTTGTTTGGCCAATCTCCTGCAGACATTCCAGCTGGTTTCTTTGAGCTTCAGGTCGCCCCAGGGCAATAGGGGGTCTGGAAACCACAAACATATACTCGCCTTTTGGCTTCCCTTGGTGAAAAAAATAGCTGTGGGCCAGCAATTTAGTGCCTCTCCCACTAACATTGCATGGAAAGATAGCTGGAAGAGCCATTCCTCTTGGGACCTCTGGGTGCGGTGGAGGACGAAGCGCTTCCCCCCTCCCCAGGGCTCGCTCCGCCCAGTGCAGCACACTCGCGCCCCTGCCCGGCGTGTAGCCTCAGTTCAACCCATTTCCGTCGGATGGAAATTCGTCATTCAACGGCGTGTGTTCTTGAAGGTTGGTCGCCTTTTCAGATCAGAGTTGGTTACCCTCCTGCCCACTCGCCTACAACTTAACCTAGGGGTCCTGGTGGACGATTTTCCTTGAAAGGGACCAGGAGGGCAGACGAAATGACCAGGAAAACAAACATTCAAGGCTCAGCTGAATCGCAAGGTCCAAAGTTGAGATTTCGGTCATCGTAGTGCAAAACATTTCCATGAGCTTCCGTCGGCTTTGGTGGTTTGGATCTGTGCTTCTGGTCCGGTTCAGATTCTCGTTCACCTACAAGAACCAGGCGACAATATGCTCATTGCTCGATGTGGCCATGCCATGCTCATACCTCACGTGCCAGGCATTCAAAGTGATCTCCCGTCAATATGCTCATTGCTGCGATGGCATGTGGCCATGCTCAGAAAGCTCTGGAGGCAAAGCAAGGCCAAGTAGTCAACGCATGCAGAACGTGTTGTTTGGGTTTGTCTTTCTTCTAACAGTATGCTTTGGGACTGTTCAAAAAGAAAACAAATCAGCTGGACACAGCCTTGTGAGACACACATATGTTGTTGCTAGTTTGTGGGAGCAAGCAGTCTGTTCTAAGTTCTAACCAGAGGTAGACTTGAACCTGAAACTGAAAAGCAGCCAGTCGGAAAAAGCAGAGCAAAGGTAGCTTTTGACAAGCATGCCCACGTCACCACCTTCCATGTAAGTTAATGACCACTGCACTTTAACTAGATGTGCGTGTCACATTTGTTTGGTGTGCTTCTCATTTCCGTGAAACAACTTGAGCAACATCCAACGCGAAGATCCCTATTTTCAAGACACAGGGCAACAAAACCCGAGGTATTCATCCAAGCGGGGCGTGTCGCTGTTCAGCTCGATGCTTGCCGTGGGCCCCAAATTGTCAGCTTTCCGATCATGGAAGTGGCCAGGACACAGTCTTTAACTTTTTGTGGGGTTTAGCGGAAAACCCAACTTGATTTCAACCGAAAAGATCAAGTCTAAAGATCCAACCCACTAGCAGTCAAGCTGAAAGGCTGCCATCAAAAATCAACATGCTGCGCATTTCCATGAGTTTTGAACAGAGGGTAACTGCTAGCCAGGCCACTCAAATCCTGAGTGGATTGGCTAAACAAGTCTAACCTTGCCACTAAAATCGTCCAAACCCAGAAAGTGCCAGTGCCGCTGAGGATTTCTCCATAACCCGTTCATGAATTGCACTCTCGCGCTGGATATAGCTCATGCATGCCTTCCGGGTTCCCAGGAGTGGACCATTCCCGCCACTCCCTGAGCTTACAAAACCGACCCCAAGATGTTGGGTTCCCCACTTTGGGTTTCCAACCAAAAGCCAGCCTCAAAAAGGGTACCCTCAAAAAAGACGCATCTGTTTCCAGGAAACCCTGGCCCAAAGCTCAAACCATGGATCATATTCAGCCCAGAATGGCTTCACAAAGAGGAAGCGCCCCTTCTTGCAACTGCGCTTTCATCGGCAATGCAGTAACATCGCTATTTCATCTCCGGCCCTGCTGTCATTGTACCGCTTTCGGAGAACTGACAAAGCCACATTTGTTGGCCAACGTGTGACCCTAAAAGTTCAAGTCCTGCTTCGCGTAGCTGGTAGACAAGCCATTTCCCAGAGTTGAGTGGATGGGCACGACCATGGTGCATTGTTGGGTGCTCTCCTCTCGTGGCCGTGCAGTAAAACAGTGACATGTTTGTGGGAGGTCCATTGCACAAGCATCTGCAGGTGCAGAGATCTGCTGCTGGGGGTGCTACCTTTACAGCTATCCCAGAAAGCACGTCATTAAGATTGGCAACGGGCATCGTCAGGCTCCTGTAGCCCCGAGCTGCTGGCGAATCCTCCAACCAAAACCATGGCAAAAAGCATGTGGAGCGCCGTTCAAAACGGAAGTCGCCCGCTCCGAAATCTACCCAGGTCTTGACTATATAGTCCTTATGAGCTGTGGCTGTGAGTCAAAACCCTGTACCCCCAGTGAACATCCCAATTCCAACTAACATAGACTAAAATGGGTGGTGCACCTACCCCAAAATGGTACCATTGGTTTTGACCCATGGCCCTGTGATGTTTTTTGTATTGCGTACCAGGCAAGCCGGCGTCAAGAAGTCGAACCCATGAAAGCTCGACCTGATCAGACGTGCTCCATGATCTAGCTCTTCCGCGGGTTTTAGGTTTAGGCGCAAAAGAAATGCGCCAAGGTTGTGCTTCAAATTTCAAGTGGCGACCGTTGAAGAAGACATAAGTAATTACGTTGCAAGTCTTGTACCAGCAACACTGGAATTTCACGTCACAAAGCTGTCGATTCACGCAAACACACTTTGGACCCCGCGCCCACACGGCAGTAGATGATAATGTCTCACCGAAAGAAGAATGATCTTGCAAAAACAGGGTGACTGTGGATGAGCCAAAGTTCAAAAGCAAAATCTGGATTCATCAACCTTGTGCTACCTGAATCCGCCCAAGTTTCGCAGGCTGGGTCAAACATCAACCAAAAGGGCTTGTCTCAAAGGAAACCCAGAAGCCAGGCTTTCGGCCCCCGGCTGGGTGGATGATGCCTCGGAGTGCATTTTCTCAAAGATGGGAAGCTTGGGTAGTAGGGGGGAAACAAATACAACCAATTACTCACTTTCTGAGTGGACTGGCCAAAACAAGTCTTTGTTTTTCTTGTTTTTTTTTCATTTACCACCAAAATGGTCTTCCCAAACAGTTTTAAGTCCAGTAACTCAGGAAGTGAGATTACCCATTGCGGTTTCCTTTGAAGGACAAATCTGCAGCACGGAATCGGGTCTGAAACTGCCCGGTACAGAAATGGTAAGTCGGGCTGCACCCCTAAGCACTAGTGGCAAGGGAGGACTGTTCCCTAAAATCCTGCCCAAAGCCATGTGAGACAAAAAAGCGGAAAGCCTGCAGCACGGAGGTTTAATAAAGGGAGCGTCCCCTACAAGGAACAGCCAACAGCAAACACACATCTTCGAGGTTGGCATCAAACCAAAAGGCGCTCTTTCAGAGGAAAACAACAATTTAAAGTCGTGTGATCCACGTAACCTGTCACATCGCGCATCTGAGACTCCGTACCCTTCCTTGGTTTTTGACCGGTACCCGGAAACTGCATGGAAGCCAACGTCCCCTCCATTTTGCGAGCTTCTTTTAGAGAGAGACCCACTGGGGCACCATCTGACGCTAACGCGCCGGAGGCTTAAGGGCAACAAAACTGTCTGGTTCTTTTGACTTTTTGGGGAGAAGCTTTGCATCTCAACCCAGAGGCTGGGGCTTTCAATGGAACCGACCCCTCCATTGGACATCTCCATTCGGCGTTTGGGGATCTCAACACCTGGCTGTTTGAGGGCCCCAAATGAATCGGGAGCCTCTGGGAAGGAAAACGAGGCAACCGCTATCACGTGCTCCAAGGAAGTCTCAACCGAATGGGTGGGACATGTCCCAGAAGGAGCACCACGTCCAACCTTTTGCGGGGGCAAATCAAAGATGTTCCAAAAGATCCTACCGGGGCTTGTTGGCAAAACGCTCTGTTCATGCAACTCAACATAGGGGGGCCTTCTTTGGGGGTGGTTCCCTTGACATCGCCTTCAAAGCCTATTTGGGCTTGATTTGGGAACTCCCCAAATGGGGGTCTCTTTTTGAGGATACCCCTTTCTTGGTTGGTAGTTGAAAAAAGAAAACAGGAACACGGTCACCATTTTGGGGGGCAAGGGGGGGTTCACGGGGTTCACCAAAAAGACAACACACCCAGAATTGAACACCCAAATAAAACAACCAAATAAAACAACAAAATAAAACAACCAACTAAAACAACCAAATAAATAGATAAATAAATCCCAAAGAAAGCAACCAAATTAAACGCCCAAACAAAACAACCAAATAAAACAACCAAGATAAAATTAAACAAACAAACCAAAGCCACGGAAAACACCCAAACAAACCAACCAACCGACAAAAGCGCAGTGAAGGCGTCTCGGGCGCCCGGGCATCACCACGATCTGCCAGTCCGCGTCACTCTTCGCCACGGCGGCCGTGAACCACCTGACGCGCTCCGAACAAATAAATAAATAACAAATCGGCCGGACCCGGGGGCTGTGCGGTTTTTGAAGACCCCAAGCATGGCGCAAACAGAAACGAAAAAAAGATTGGCCGACCAAGGGCGGGGGTGTGGTTTGATGAAGACCCCAAAGATGGCAAGGGTCTCCTTTTGCTTGTTTTCTTTGAAACCCTAACATGGCGATGAAATCCTTGTGAGATCATCCCACAAAGGGAGCCATCAAAAAAAAGGACCTAATGCACAGAGGATGCGTAAACCAACAAGCACCAGGGGTGGTTCAATAGTGGTCGGGCCGTGGCCCGAGTCAAACCCTGGTTTTCGAAGCACTGTAGGCAAAGGAAACATTTGACAGGGCAGCCGCGCACACTTCTAGATGGTTCTGTCCCCAACAGCTGTCAAAAGCGCCTTTCTTGGATTGAGTGCACCCAATGCTGGATGCTAGGCTAAGCTTCAACCGTGCCCCACTTTGGACTGTGGTCATTTCCTTCTGGCTTAATATACTAAACTCTTGAAACATGTGGCTGACCAATCGTCTAGCTTGAAAACTGTCCAGGCCTCTTAAGGGCAAATGAACTGTGGGGGTGTATCCTCATGGGCTATGTACTGTGGGGGTGCTTGGTTGCTTACGTTTGTGCAAAACAAAAACATTCGACTATGATATGCTTGGAAACCTCTAGGGATTTTGGGTCGAAGAGAACCTCAAAACAGTACCTCACGTACCCTCCACCTTGAGCTATTGCAACTGGGCTGTTCACTCTGCATGGTTGGGCGAACCTTATCCAGAATCTCGAAGGGAAGATGAATGGAAAGCGGACCAGTACTTAACCCAAAGCAATGATTATAAGGATTGCCTTTGAACAATCCAAAACATTGGACATAATCAACATTGCTGTTGACGGCATGGATGACCCTGCTACTAGCACAAAAAAAGTTTCTTTGAGAGCAGGACGGGATCAGGAAAAACTATGCAGAGTCATCGATCCCGTTTTGGCTTTGTTTGCAGGAGCCCAGGTTCAAATAACAAGTGGATGGTCAAGCTGGGATCGTTCAGGGAGTCGATGGTTCAGATCCTGCCAGACCCACGGTGCCGCCCTTAAAAAGGGGATACCGAGGAGGACCTATTTCGACAACCCCCCCCCCCCAAGGGGAAAGCCAGAGCCGCCATAAAACGGTTCCCACCCGAAGTGTGTGGGCGATGGTTGAGGTTCGCACGTCTTCTGGTCCGCCCAAAGCTTCTCGAACCACTTCACGCAGTCCTGCCCCGAGCCAAAACCAGTGAATCTCGGATAGGCTCCATCCTTCGAGAAAGGAGTCACCAAAAATAAAAGTGGCGGCGGTTGCTTTTGTTGATGCTGCCCCTTTGTAATGCACCAAAATTCAGCCGAGAGTCGAGTTCAACTCGCCTTGAGTTTCCCTTGCTGAGGCCAAAAGATCATCCCTGATCTCAAAAATATGGCCCCTTCATAAACGAGTCCCAAGCAAAAACAAGGGGAAGTGCTGGTTGCCTGGCAGTCCGGGAGTGTCCATGACCATTTAGAAATGGGATAATTCCTGGGGGTCGTTTGTAAGGGATACGCCCCCTCCCTCCTTTCGGTTTCCCTGAACCACGAGGTCCCGGTTTGAACAAGCGGTTGGCTTGAAAGAGACTTGCCCTTTTTGTCAGGGTTCGTTAAGACCAAGGGTTCGTTAAGACCAAGCCGAATCCCAGAATAGGGGATTCGAAAAGGGGCCCTACCTTTCTGGCCCAAATCCGGATTCTCTCAAAATCTGACAGCTCCCTACCAATCAAGCAGGGGTTTGCCCGTTCGGCACCCTTTTAGGGGCAAGAAAGGGCACCCCGCATCAGCGGCATCCTCAAAATCACCTTCAAAACATTTGTGCTTGAAGGATACAACAAAGAACACCAGAAATGCGTGGTGTATGAATCCCTCCCATGGGATTGGCAGATCTCCCGCATAGCCCTTGCCCCCGGTCATCGGGGCTGGTGGGCCCGGTAGCTGAGCAGGTGGCCGGGTCCGAACCGTTGCTCGCCGGGTACCTGCGAGTGCATAGCATGGACCCTTTGGGGGGGGGGGGGGCTATGGGGAGGTGGGGGGGGGCTATGGGGAGGTGGGGGGGGGGGGCTATGGGGGCTGCGAGTGCACAGGTGGCCTTTGGGGAAAATCGACGGCCCTGGTAGATGATTGAACCAGGTCAACCAGGGCCCTCTATTGTTCAACCAAACGAACCAAAAAGGACACCGACCCTTGGGGGCGGCTATGGGGAGGGGGGCTATCCCTTAACCCCTTATTATGGTCTTGTTACCTCCCCCCCATAGACCCCGATAGAGGTCCATGACTACGGATCTTCCTTTTCGCAAATGGTGTGGTTTTCACGGAACACACAGCAAATACCAGTGCACTCTTCAAACAGGTAGGTTTCCTTTTTGGGGGAATGTACATATATAAATGTGTATATATATATATACATGTTCAAGGTTCCCCATATGTCCTCGTTAAACATCACACCAACAGGAAACTCACCCAAACAATGCCCTCAAAGGTGATGGTTACAACCACAAGGGGAGTTCTGGGAAACCCTTGCGGAAATCTCCCATGTACTGGCTTCTTGGATTCCCGCATAGCCGCAAAGGCGTTTCTGCGGCGAACAAGGATTTCCAGAACTTCCTGTAGCTGCTTCTTGGATCCTTGCTCGCTGTGGCGAAAGAGCACCGAGCGAATTGTGCAATCCGTCCCCGAACAACCAGTCAAAGCGCTAGAAGGGTACCTAAGGTTGAGTCCCAAGTCTCTTCACTCGTCCTTCTATTCAGAAAGCACTGATTGGATTGATTCTTGGCCAACAAAAAGGGGAGCCACAGGAGATAGAAGCCCGCTGTTCAAGCCCGCCATATCACTTGGTTGATCGGAAGGACAAGTGAAGCTCCCCAGGAACCGTCTGGAGCCTATCTGGGCAAAGACGCCTATGCTTTGAGCTCGGGAACAACAGCTATGGATGTCTCTCTTTGGGAAGCCTTTTGTTCGAGGCTGTTTTGAAGGGGAAACTTTGCTGGGCCGTCCTCAAATCCCCTACTAAAAGCTTAACTTCTACTTCTAGTGGGTTAAATGGACACCCCCACAAAACCCTAAAGTCTCAAAGCCTAAGGGCACAACTAGGAATCGCCAAGTTTGGGGTTCCTTGATTTTGAGACACACCCATTGGCGACCCAAAAGGCACCCACCGTCTACCCTCGAGGTAAATGCGAAAAACGCCCGCCTCGTGTTCTCGCAGTGCAGGCCGGGATTGCTCCTCGCGGAGCAGAGGTTGTGGTCCGGGTTGTCCTGGCGATGAGTCACATGGGTGTGGTTGTCAAAACCCCGTCCCCCAGTGAACATCCCAATCCCCCAATGGGGTACCCTCCACATGGCTGTGGTTGTCAAAACCGTTTTGGGATCCCATTTTGGGGATTGGGCGTCTATTTTAGTGGGGATTGGGATGTTCACTGGGGGCACGGGCTTTTGACCCATGGCCGCATCTTCCGTTCAGGCAACTCAGGGATTGCTACAGATTGCGGAGGACCAGTCGGCGCTTTTCCCAGGGATCTGGAGAGTTGAGAGCGGCTGCTGGAAGCGAAAGATCGATGCCCATCCCATCTAGCTTTGCTTGTTACATCCGAAGGCCTGCTCATTGGAAGTTCCATGATGCACAATCCATCAATCCGCCCCCTTCAACGCAAAAGGTGCCCAAAGCGAGCACACATTGTGCCAATCGCACGTTGAGGCAAAGGGGTAAACAGTTGGTGAGTTCAGAAGTGTCTGAAGAAAAGTGACTGCCTTTAAGCCAACGGCAAGGCTAGGTCCTCCAGTAGAGAGGTTAGAATAAGGGTACCCTTCTCTTGTGTAGTCTATTTGTGTGGCCGAACCCTCCCTACGGGGGGAACTAGCAGAGGAAGACCTTCAAATTAAGAGTTTCCTCTTCCGAATGGACGAGCAGCAACCTACCCCGTCCAGCCCAAAGAAGCAGGGCCCTTTTTGGTCCAAGCACATCCCAAAGTCCCACTTGGGGCTCGGGCCGCGGGGTTCTGGGTGTCCAGGATGTTGGTGTCCAGAAACCAGAAGTCCACGCTGAACCTCGGCGCCCCGGTCCCGCTCGATGCGCTGCGCATCGACCCGGTCCCGCGAGTCTTGGATTTGGCTCCCACGAGCCTTTGGGCATCGGCAACGCTTGCCATGACCCAGAAACGCAGCCTTGTGAAGCCAGACGTCAAGAAACGATTTCCGAGTCATAGCCCTAAATATGGAGATATTTCTCAGGCCCAAAGGATCATGCGGAGAACACCACTTCCAACTTAGCGGCCAAGTTCAAACACTTGGCCTTGGAAAACCGCCGAATACGGCCCACAAGACAGTGACAAATAGCGCCTACTCAGAGTAGGTCCAAGGCTGAGTTGTCTTGAACTAGGCAAGCAGGATGGTTTGCCTGTAGGTTGTATGTGATGGTTTCCCCTGGCCTGGTTAGTAATAATGCTACCTGGAACCGTTGCATATATCAGCCCGGTCACACATTAGGAGTCAGGAGTCTTCAAGTGACCCACTTGAGACCCGATTTGGCGAAGAAGAGGATGCACAATGCAATTTTTCGCAGATGAACACGCGCTTGGCATTAACCACGCTTGGCAGGACACCTACCGAACAAGAAACCGGAGATGCCACTAAACAACTGGCTGTGGGTTGGCTCAAAAAGAGCGCGAGGATCAATCATCAGGGAGCCCAATTCAGAGACGAATCCTGCTGCTTTTCTGTTTCGCCTTCGGGCCATGCTTGAAGGGGCAGGGTGCTTAGTAGTTGTTAGTACCCATGGGCAAATCACCCAAGCCACAGTTGCAAGAAGGAAAGGGGGAGGTCCCCAAAAAAGGCACACCCAAGCGTGGGTGCTCCTCAAAATAGAAAATCGGTCCATTTCCTGACTCTGGCCAAGACTTCCTTTGGGCTCCCCTTTACAAAACCATGTGGATATCATGTAGATGCTCGCAACGGGCAACCAAGAATCAACCATTGTTTTCAACAAAAAAACATGTTCCAACCAAGAATCAACCATCTTTCTTTTTTACAAAGAAACCAACACAAAACTCTCGTTACCCTCACGAATCGAGTGCGGATCGACCCGCGATCGTTCCAATCGCATTTCCCAGGGTCTCCGGGCGTTTGGAACTGCACCTTGCGGTGCCAGTACTGCGCCGGCATCACCTCGCCCGCGCGTCGATGCGTCGCGCGCCGCGCGGCGCGTATCGTATCGACGTTTGAGGTGAAGTGGCGTGAGCCACGGAAACGAGGGAAGTGGAAGGAATCAACCCCCTGGATTTCCCGTTGAAGCACACATGAACATGGGCCATAACGAGAACCGAACCTCGGTTGGGAGGTTCTTGCGCGTGTTTAGCCCTCAAGAATCAGTTGGAGGCTTTAGAAGGCGCCTCACAAGGGGGTTCGCGTCCTTTGCTTCAGCTTGGGTTGCCACTTTTTTTGGTAAGACAATCCCAACCCTGGTTGAGGGCCGCACACAAAACAAAAAAAAAGCAGGCCACGGGCCCCTTACTCAGTCCTCCACTACTTGCCAGCCTGTGTTTGTGACATGAAAAATACTATACAAGGACACGATGTCCACTGATATATAAAGGGTAGAAGATTGGCCCTACGTCACGTCTGATTTGCTTCTGGAGATGAACACACCTCTTGTTGTAAAGATTTAATGTCACATACTTCTACCTCTTGTCCAGCAGTGCAATTTGCATAGTTTTTTTCTGCGTATGGGATAGAGGGTCACCAGCAAATCAACAATCCCCAGTGCTGGGTAGACCAAGAGGCCAAAAGGTCGGCTTTGGACCACAAGTACACACCGTTGCAAGCTCTCGATCAGGTCTTAACACCGCCTGGGTGCTGGGAAACCTTAAATTTACCAAGCTTCTCTGCCACAAACCACTAAAACTTGGTCTAGCTGGCCAAAACAACAGGAATCCAACCAATGCTTGAATACCTAACATGTGCCCACATGCTCGCTGGCTGGTGGTAATCATGGCCCAAAGCCATCGTTTGTTTTTCACACGGTTGTGGAAAATCACATGGTTCTCGTGATACTGACGTAGGCCAGTCCAATTATTAAAGCTTGGTTCACCGGCACAACAAAAGGAACGCCCACGCTTTGAGGTCCGAATCCGATTTTGAGACACGATCCAAATGGTGGACCCCCCCCCAAAGGAAAGAAACCCTTGGAATTTCAAATGGATCGATACCAACTCCCTGAGATGTCCACCAGAAAAAAAAACACAACTTGCGGGTGCTCAGCAGGGAATGAGGGCATGAACCTGAAAAATTCCCTTAAATGAAACCACCAGTTGGATGGTGAGGGGTCACTCCATTTCTCCTTCCCCGCCTATCGCAGCAAGAAAACGACCCACATGGTCACAGGTCCCCGGCCCAGCGTCCGTCGGGCTTGAAGGTGTAAAAGATCTGCTGGTCCCAGCCCTGGCGATCGAGTTTTACCGAAATCAAATATCATTACCGGTCGCATGTTCTGCCAGAGAATCTTCCGAGAGGTCCCAGTAACCCAAATGGTGTCAACGGGGTTTGATCGCCGGAACTGGGCTTTGAGGCTTCCTAGGGGTTAATGTTAGGTTGCGAATAATAAATGGGGAGTCAATACACAAAAAAACCCAAAATTATTCACACCCCTGAAAAGCAAAAGGGGGAGTTAATACACAACAGTTTTTGTGAGGGGCAAAAAATCCGGAAACATGTTCCCAAAAAAAAGGTTTGATAATTAATCCCTAGTTCAGTGCAACTCCTCTCTCTCTCTCTCTCTGCCCCGCCCGCCCCCCCCCAACCTACCACCACCACCAACAAGGAGATGATGATTGAAGTCCCTGAAAAGGAAGATTAACTGAGGTCCCCAACAGCCAAATTCTTTATGACAGCCCTTACTAAAGTTGCACCCTGCCAAATTTTCAAGGGGGTAGGTAGTACAGGGAACACCCAGGAAGCCAATAATGAGATTTGTTTAAGGGGGGTTAATTGAGAAAAGTTTTTTAGGACTGGGGCCAGGGATGCCTGCAGGGAAAAGGGCTTCCCTTTCCAAAGAACTACTGAGTCTCCCCAGAAAAGGAAGTTTCCTTTCCAAAGAACTACTGAGTCTCCCCAGAAAAAGAAGTGTAACTGAGGTCCCCAACAGCCAAATTCTTTATGACAGCCCTTACTAAAAGTTGCACCCTGCCAAATTTTCAAGGGGGTAGTACAGGGAACACCCAGGAAGCCAATAATGAGATTTGTTTAAGGGGGGTTAATTGAGAAAAGCTTTTTAGGACTGGGGCCAGGGATGCCTGCAGGGAAAAGGGCTTCCCTTTCCAAAGAACTACTGAGTCTCCCCAGAGAAGGAAGTTTCCTTTCCAAAGAACTACTGAGTCTCCCCAGAAAAAGAAGTGTAACTGAGGCCCCAACAGCCAAATTCTTTATGACAGCCCTTACTAAAAATTGCACCTGCCAAATTTTCAAGGGGGTAGTACAGGGAACACCCAGGAAGCCAATAATGAGATTTGTTTAAGGGAAGTTAATTGAGAAAAGTTTTTTAGGACTGGGGCCAGGGAATACTAAACCAATACGAAACCAATTCTAAACAGTACTAAGCCAGTCAACCAGAATATTAAACCAATACTAAACCAATTCTAAGCAGTACTAAGCCAGTCAGCAAGAATACTAAACCAATACTAAACCAATTCTAAGCAGTACTGAGCCAGTCAACCAGAATACTAAACCAATACTAAACCAATTCTAAGCAGTACTAAGCCAGTCAGCAAGAATACTGAACCAATACTAAACCAATTCTAAGCAGTACTAAGCCAGTCAGCAAGAATACTAAACCAATACTAAACCAATACGAAGCAATACTTACTGGAATACTACTTAGGGAAGACCCGGTCTGACCCTCATTTTGTTTGTAGGGTTCCTCTATTGACCCCCCCCATTTTGTTTGAGGGGGGGGGGGGCCCTTTATTATTCACTCCCCAACATTAAGCCTGTAAACCGAAGGGTGTGACCTACGGGGTTTATACCACATCGCAGATCCGTCCAGTTGAACCCAGTCAACTGGAAGGATCGGCGGGGTGGTACAAACCCCGTACGTCCCAGTAAGAACTGGAAGGGCAGCCCGCACGCCTCAACACGCCTCAAAACGCCCAGTCAATCGCAATATGCAAGGTTCTCCAAATTGAGAAACCTCCGAAAGCTGATGTTTTCCTTTACACCAGGGTGAAAGTTGGGTGCTTGGTTTGGTTGGTTGGTTTGGCTGGTTGGTTTGGCTACTTGCTTGGTTGGCTGGTTTGTTGATGGCTCAATTTCAGCTATGTAGGTGCATGATGACTGAATCAAGAAGATGGATGACGCCATGTACTTTCACCCAGCTGCAAAGCAACTGGCAGCTTCAAACAAACGCAACCAGGATGGAGGAGGGATTGCGCAGGGAAACCCCCAGCTTTCCCAATGCTTCCAGTTCCCACTATAGGACATATCCAAAACGCAAAATGGAAAACCCAGAGATTAAACCAATCCCGAATTCCTATCTTTGTGGTAGCCGAAGCTGCTGCTTTTCCAGAGGTCGTCTCAGGGTTCCTTGCACAGGCTGAAAGGCCTAGATTTGGAGAAGAAAAAAACAACGCACAAGCAGGTATGAATATCTTCTCGGGCTCCGACCTGGAGAGGCCCAAGCAGGTTGAGGCTAACGAGGACTTTGCTTTCTCCTTCGCCTTGTTTTGGTGTCAAACAAGCGTGGGACACCCTATTATAGTTCTCCAGAATATCAACAGGCACAATTGGATGTGACTTGTTTTTGGGGTGCCCATTTTTTGCTGGTGTTAAAGGAAAACTACAAGGGACACCACCGTTTTGGAGGGTCCCCTTAAAAAGGCAGGCCCAATTGTGACTAGTAGGAACTCCAAATGGTGCAAAGAGAAATTGCGTCTATCAACTACTTCGTTGTTGTCCAGGTCCACTGTTTCTGTTTTCAGTAACAACAAAAGCAACGGAGTACGTGCAGTACTACGTACGCAACTGGGGTCTCTTTCAACGGCGGCGACAAACATTAAACATGGCAGCGGCCTTGATGTAGCACACACCTCCGTAGTCGTGGTTGCCAAGAACCTCGCAACAAGTCTTTGGAAGCACTTACCCTCCCATCCGCTAACACGGAACCTGATTGAGGGTCCATAAAGACTAGGCTCCATGCTTGTGGACAGGAGGGTAGTTGCTTAGTGACTTGCCCTTGGGCTGGACTTTGCGCTGGGATGAGACAACGTGTCGCAGAATACCAATGTGCTATATGACTTCTGATCAAAGCTGATCCCAACTTAAACAACCCTGTTTATATAATGGCTCACCTCACGTGATGGATCCCCATTAAAACCAGGGGTTGACCCCCGGTATTAATCAACCAGGGCTTGATTCCCGCGAACTTCGCATTTGTAGCGCAGAAAGGCGTCATTGCCCAGTGCAGGCAATTCAAGGGCAGACTGCAAGATTCTTGGACGCAATCAAAGTCGTTGTTTGCAGAATGGCTGACAAGCATCACGCTGCTTCAATCGGCACGCTCTGAGAACCTGCGCGTAAGAATCATCACCAAGTCTGCAAGAGGGAAATGCAACTGAGCGAACCCTTGCAGGTGACCCTCGAGATGTTGAATAGAACTTCTTCCCATAATATATCCTGCATATGAACATGTATGTATATATCTACAAGTATATATATATATGTATAGTAGATACACGACGTCAATGCAGGATTTAACAAAGAAACACCTGAATGATTGATAGGGGATGATAGGGGGATGGGGGGGGCGTCCCATTTAAGAGGAGTCCTTTATACCGCTTGCGGGGGCCCAATCAATCCGCCAGGCTTAGCAATCCGGAGCCGATATTAGATTCATAAAACCGGCACAATATGGTGGATCGGGCAAGTGCCTGGGTCCCAGGGGTCGGCTCAAAACTCGTGTGCAAACTCAGCTCTTGAAGAGCATAAGCTCCAAGCCAAATAGCATGATTCACCCACAGGGCCACGGGAAAGAATACATGAATCACAAATGGAAACTTCATCATGCGGCCACCTACCGGTCAAACCAAAACCTTTTGTGAGGCCACGATTTGCCGACGTGCTCACTTCCTGAGCGGATAGGTTAACACAAGTCCAAACTTTCGCTTACTCAAACGATGTTCCCCGAACGTTTACATCAGGGTGAAAGTAGATAACATAAGTAAAGGCATGACTAAACACAAATGCTGCAATTGTGCCATGTACATTCACCGAACTCTAAATCTAAGGAGGATCACCAGACTCCCCCCCCTCCCCCACCCAACAAACGGACAACAAAATGTATTTTTATTGGTGCCTCCAAAAGACTATATAAACCTCCATATAAAGAAGGGATTTTCCTTGTCTCACAGAAGTGGTGGGATAAACCCCGAGTGATCCCGCAACCCTGTTGGGTCTCAGTGAAGGTTCCATGTGAACTTCGAGAAACAAAAAAAACAACAACGGGGACCAACTGTCCGAACTTCGCTCGGCTTCCGGCGCTCCACCACTCGATGTTGCCCAGGTCCTCGCGAGTTTGCGCCGAAAGGCGTGACTCGGCGGAAGACATCTGTCTGGTGGTCCAAAATCGGATGCTCCACTGGGATGACTCTTGCGAAGGGGTCGGAATTTTTACACTTGGTATGAGCATCTAGCAAGCAGCTACCTTTCTTGCAGCCCCGTGCTGAAAATGAACAGAACCCAGAAACCTGAAAAACAAAAACAAAATACCCAGGGGGAAAGCGGTGTGCCGTTCTTTTCCACCAGGGTTACTGGACAACCAGGTAGAAGCCAAACACTCACACATCGTTGCAGCTTGGTTTGTGTTCAATATCCTCTTCAGGCCTTTCAAAGAATGTTTCCTGCACAGAGTCTTCGGGGCAGGTTTCGTCTTCACGCCATAAACCCCTTGGTGGACCCAAACAACTTGTTTTGCGATGGGATGCTGGAGAAACACTGAACACAGCTGCCTGAAAGTCCCATTGAAACACACCATGGTCTCCAAAAAATGGATCCTGGATCACGAAAAGACAGGCTGGCCATTTATCAACCCCAGAAAAGCTTCCTCAAAAATGGATAAGCTCATGTCAATGTGGATGAAACACATACTGTGGATGAACCCAAATCCACCTCGCACCAGTTGGGCAGGATTCCGTTGACATCCTATGAACAACAGGATAAACAACCCACCAACTGGTGAAGAGTGGAGGGTAACATCCATTCGCACTGACCCTATGAATAGGGAGGTGTTCCCCTCCAACAGATGAACCTCAAAACAAGGGGACAACCCCGTACTTCGCAAGGCTTTATGCTGGGGTTCCCATTGCCTAGCCTTGGCCAACATTCCCCCGGAGCTTCCCGGAACCCGCTTGGAACACTCCTAGAACCTGTCCCACCAAGATTGTCCGTCGGCTGTCTCTGAGCAGAGGCAACCGACCTCTTAAAGAAACAGTCCAAGACCCACCCCAAGCCAGGGATTCCCTGTACTCCAAAGCTACGTTGGCACCTAGCCGCCTAGCGCAAGATGCGCTGTTTGATGGAATTAGAGGTGGGAAACCAGGCTAATTTGAATTAATCCCGGACATTGGGCTAGAGGATTGAGCGCTCGGCCATTCAGATCAAAACGGATGGACGAACGCTGAATCCTACTCGTAAATGGTCCGGGCTTTCGTTCAATGATTAGTAACCCGAAGCAGGCCAAGATGCGTTCTTATGCGTTCCTTGAAGTTAAAACTTTGAAATGATGAAATCGTTTCCTTTTGTTTCCATTGAACAAAATCACACTAAGACTCACCGTGGAGCCATTCTGCCCGGGACGCGCCGGAAATCCCACCGGCAGAAGCGCCCGAAGCGCCTCCACGGGGTAGACCTGCTCGAAGATCTGTGAGAACCTCAGAGGGTTGGCGTCAGAGTGTCTGATTGTTTTGCTTATTTGTTGATTGTGAAGTGTTTGTTTGTTTGTTTGTTTGTTGTGTTTGCTTGATTTCGGTTGGTTGGTTGGTTGGTTGCTTGAATTCGGCGGGTTGGTTGGTTGGTTGGTTGAATTCGGTTGGTTGGTTGGTTGGTTGGTTGGTTGGTTGGTTGGTTGGTTGGTTGGTTGGTTGGTTGGTTGGTTGGTTGGTTGGTTGGTTGGTTGGTTGGTTGGTTGGTTGGTTGGTTGGTTGGTTGGTTGGTTGGTTGGTGGTTGGTCGGTTGGTCGGTTGGTCGGCTGGTTGGCTGGCTACCCTTTATGGGAGCACCAAACCGCTCGTTTTCCAGGTTTTGTGCAATCTGCATAGGGCCCAAAAAGCCTACGCAACCTATGGGTTCTGAGTGTCCCTTTGGGGAAATGGTGAGTATCCCGCAATTCAAGTTGTCCCAACAAAATGAATAGATTGGAGCCCGAACAAACAACAAAACAAAAGACTCGAAGACTCTCAGCCAGGATGCCTTGCTAATGTACCCCTGCCCCGTGGTTGACTATGCTTCGTTGGTTCACTTGCATTTTTGTTGTTTGTTGGAAACATATTTGGGTTTTGCGAACCTCCCATTAAGCTCCCAATAATCAACGCCCGAATTTGGTTGCTGTCCATGTCATTCCACAGGTCGACATAAGCTTGGCCAACCTTCAATCCTGAGCCTAGGACATAAGCATGTTCTACAAGGTCCACCTTCATTTGCCTAAGTCTCCCGGAAACAGTAACAATACTTCCAATAATGACAGACTCTTTCTAAAGCCAACCGGGGGAAAAAACCTTAGGCAAATGGATGTCCTTCTTCCACACGGCTGAGAGGATCAATCTGCGCCACATGCTGTTCGAAAACGAATTCCTCTGGGCTGCTTAAGTTCCAGCCTCGAAATCACTGCCTTCGCTCTCCCCCAGACAACTCAGTGCAATACTGAATCTGGGCGATCTGATGAAGAACATATTCATCAACAGCGCAATCTTCCCTCAATCTGTCAACCTTTCCCTGCGCAGTATCAATGGACGTCCAAGATATCAAATGCTACAAATCGTTGCCCAGTAAGCGTCGCTTTGGCGCTCGCTACGTCCGAACATCCCGGACGGCGTCCTGTCATGCAACTTCCGCTTGAGGATCCCTTCGGCGCGGGCAAACTGGGCGAAGTACTCCTGTCCATCGTTGAAGTTTATACCATGAATTCAAACCAAGCGGGGGCTTGACATACAGGGGGGGGGGGGGGCGTTTGAGACCATCTCCAAAAACACTATTTCCTGATGAAGGCCTGGATCTCAGGCAAGCCACTCTCGGTAACCTGTCGCTGGACGCCGGCCATTCCCCGCCAGCCGACAGGGCTCCAGGCTGCGACTGCGTAAACACGGCGTCGTGCGGGGAGCCGTTGTCGCAGTGCCTGCGATCGCAAAGTGGGATCTGGGGAAACGCCGGGCTTGTGCTTTTTGGGGAGGCTCAACAAGACATCTAAGTTCCTCTCTGTGGGGTGTTGGGGTTCTTTTGGCGTCCTTTTTTGCTCTCTTCCTCTGATTCTTCAGATCTTTCGTCAAACCCGTCCTTTGGGGGCTCCGACTTTCTAGTGGACATAAGTCTTTAATTACTCACTTGCTACACCCCGCTCTGGGAGAACAGCCCCGCCGCCGGGCGGGGCGCCGACTGGCTTGCTTGATGGGATTGCCACTGCTGGGGCTACTGCATGGCTGTGGGTCCAAAGTAGGTACCCAATATGGAACCCTGGCAAATGGAAACAAGGACTAAAACCCGCGGTCCCCTGGTGGCTTAATTTTGACCCACACCCACATGGGTGTCTTTGTTGGAGGGTAGCCTTTTGGGGGTTGGATAATTCGCAGTGAACTGAAGGAGCACTCTCCTTCCGATATTCAGCCATGAAGGGAACTGGGAGAAAGATTCCCGGCCGGAATTAATGATCCCTATGGACCCAAAGTGATCGCAAGTTTCAGCGCTTCAGCGAGGCTTGGTATGAACCCTCGGTTTGTGGCTCAGCCGAGCGTTACCTTGCTGGTTCGATACGCAGGGAATGAGCGAATCACTCTTATGAACAATCCGTTCTGGTTGCCTTTAAAGGAATCCGACGATAAGTGCATCCCATGTCCTGCTTGCACACCATGAACATGCCCGAAGATTCTGATGAGTTTTGGAATACATATCCATGTCCCACGCAGCCTGTCAATAACCCAGCTGATTTGGAGGCTAACCACGAAGCGCAATAAAGGCCATCCTTGTTTCCATGGGAAACAGATGGATACATAGGCGTCCTTTTAGGGGAAATAGATGGCCCTGGTAGACAATTAACCCACCAGGTAAACCAGGGCCATCTATTTGTCTACCAAAACAACCAAAAAGGAAACCTACGGTTGGATACCTATGAATCACAGCCCAAAAGGCCATGTCTCCAGTATTTGGCATGTCTTGCTTGGGACCTTGACCCACGCAAACTCCAGTCTGAAGGACCTGCGGCAGAGCTGATGGCCTAACATAGGTGAAGAAGGGTTCCTCAATAGGTCTGAAACATGAAGGTCGCTGCAAGTCGGGTAGTCCTGTTGGTTTCCCTTTGCAACCAAGCTCAAATGGGTGCTTGCTGCACAAAACACACCTATGTTGGTGTCCATTCCTAAAGCATTTAGCAAATGGGATCCCAACCACCCCTCTCCTTGTGGATTCCCTATTACTGTTGACCCCCTGTTACCCATATTAATCCACCCGAGTTATTTAATAGCGGGGGTGTTCCCCTCCAAAAGTGATAAATCACCAAAACTGGCACCCATTGATCAACTGGGCTTGATCAACTGGGGTTGATGAAACTACGGGGATCAACATTCTGTGGGACCAAGGCCAGGCTGAACGAAACAAGACAACCACCGAGGTCCCCACGTGTCCACACCCCCCGGGTAGAAGTTATCCCCTGGCGCGGGGCAAAAACAAAAATGAGACGGGGGAAACAAATCGAAGAGGGGCTTGGTAGACTTCGAAAAGCCAAACCTGGTCATGTCTTTAAATAAGTCAACGGATTTATGTTCTGTGTTGTAACATTGTAACTATAATATGATTCATGATTCTAGGGGAAATAGGCGTGAAAGGTTTAGCCCCTTGTGTTACTTGGCTTCCCTTCAGTTGATGCATATCACTGGGTTCAAGGTCCACTTCCTGAAACTCAGGGACACACCGGAACCCTGGATTTACGAAATGGTGGGCTAAACGTCGACGCCTAAGCATGCCACACCAAGAAAAGAGAACCCGCATAAACTAACCCTTTCTCGAAAGTTGCCCCTAGTCTCGTGCGTGTACTTCGAGTTGTTCTAGTTGCCTGCCACAGAACTGTCATGTAAAGAGTCAAATTTTGGGTTAGTACTGCCGAATTCCCGGATAAATGCGCCGTGCGGGTTGGATAAAAGGGGTGCTTCCGTGAAAGTAAAGGAGCCCCTGTCAAACAGAACCCCCAAGATGAATCAAGAAGAGCTTACTAGCCCAGAGTCAAACTGGAGGCCTCCACTTGAAAAAACTACCAACTGGTCCCAGAGTCGGACATGTAACCCGCAGCCGAAACGAACATTCCAACAAGTTAGAGGGCCAAGGCAAGCGACCAATTCCGTATAACGAAAATACATAAATATGTATATATAGAAATATATAATATATTGGTTTATTCACTTTAGGGAGTGTTGTCTTATTGTTGTTCTATTAGTTGGCAGATTGAAACACACGCATGATGGCATATTAATTCATGATGCACTTTATACCATCCTAAGTTTCACAAACACGAACACAGATCACTTCAACATGTTTTTGGGGTTCAAGTGTGGAAAGCTTCACTGGGAATTGTCCGAACTTTGTGGTTGCAAGAAACAACGCGCCAACAAAGCAGCGCGCTGGAAAGGATCTGCTTCAGTTGCGCTCCACAACACAGCAACATCTGCCCTACATGTCGCACACCGACCAACGGGGTCTCAACATGGTGGACCCCCCTCTAATATGGGTGATTTCTTTCTTGTGGTTGCTCTTAAAATGAGCCCAAGGAGAAGTTCCTCATGACAAAATTTTCGAGACATGCACAAATACTGAGGGTGAAAGAGCTCGTACGGAACACAAAAACAAAACAACCCCCACTTACAGCAGAAAGGGTCGGAAGAAAGCTCACAAAAAGGAGGTTTCATCTTAAAAACCTTTCTGGGGGTGGGGGGGGGAAGGGGGGGGGCCAAATGACGGGAAAGCATCAAGGAACACTGTTCGAAGGTAAAAACCCGCGAAAATACTGGAAGCAAACACACCCCGGCGACGGCACCCTCAACCTGAAAAAAGGAAACCCGCCCAAAACCGGGAACCCCCGCATTCTTTTGCGCCCAAAAGGGGAACGTGTGCTGAGGGAACTGCACGACCCGACCCACAAAACGGCACCGCCTACGTTGAGGATGAACTTTGGCGCCTTGCCCTCCTTCTTGAGCTCCGCGACCTGCACGAGGACCCCGGCGCTGGACACAAAAAAGAAACACGCAAACCGCACGTTGCACTTCCAAACAAATCAATTTGGCCGGACAACTGCATGTGCGCCTATTTGAGGCTCCAGGAAACTCCCCTCTCGCTGACTTGTTCAGCATCATAACATCAACTGCTGGGTCCTCTCAAAGAGGTGAGTTTGCTTAACCCACCAAAAGGCGCTCCCGTTCCCCCTGGAAAAAGTCGACACGCCTACCTCTACCTAGAGTCTCCATCACCCCGAACAAAAAATGGGTCCATGACCCCTTAATTTTGGGTAGTGACCAACCATTTTGTTAAGGGTCCAGAAAAATAAACTCCAGATTTTTCCTAACCTACCACAAGGCGTTTTTCCCTTAAACAAAAAAAACAACAGACACCACTGCTACCCCAACCGGAAACCCCGACTCCTCTCCTCCCGTCCCGCGCTCGACTCGCCTTCTCCTTCATGCGATCCGCCACGAGGCCCTGGGCCATCCAGTCCTGAGGCGCAACTCGATCAGGTTGGGCGGCCGAAAGGTTTTTGGGCCGGACCCTCGAAATTTGGTCAAGAGGTGGGCTCGTCTATGAAAAACCCTTGGTGGGTTAAGCCAAAAGGAAACTAACCAAACCAAAAAAGGGAGGGGGGGTTCGTCTAGAATAACCCCTTTTGGTGGGTTAAGCCAAAAGGAAACTAACCAAACCAAAAAATGGAGGGGGGGTTCGTCTAGAATAACCCCTTTTGGTGGGTTACACCGAAAGGAAACTAACCAAACCAAAAAATGGAGGGGGGGTTCGTCTAGAATAACCCCTTTTGGTGGGTTACACCAAAAGGAAACTAATTAACCAAACCAAAAAATGGAGGGGGGGGTTCGTCTAGAATAACCCCCTTTGGTGGGTTACACCAAAAGGAAACTAACCAAACCAAAAAATGGAGGGGGGGGTTCGTCTAGAATAACCCCTTTTGGTGGGTTACACCAAAAGAAAACTAACGAAACCAAAAAATGGAGGGGGGGGTTCGTCTAGAATAACCCCTTTTGGTGGGTTAAGCCAAAAGGAAACTAACCAAGCCAACAAATGGAGGGGGGGTTCGTCTAGAATAACCCCTTTTGGTGGGTTAAGCCAAAAGAAAACTAACCAAACCAACAAATGGAGGGGGGGTTCGTCTAGAATAACCCCTTTTGGTGGGTTAAGCCAAAAGGAAACTAACGAAACCAACAAATGGAGGGGGGGGTTCGTCTAGAATAACCCCTTTTGGTGGGTTACACCAAAAGGAAACTAACCAAACCAAAAAATGGAGGGGGGGGGGGTTCGTCTAGAATAACCCCTTTTGGTGGGTTAAGCCAAAAGGAAACTAACGAAACCAAAAAATGGAGGGGGGGGGGTTCGTCTAGAATAACCCCTTTTGGTGGGTTAAGCCAAAAGGAAACTAACGAAACCAAAAAATGGGGGGGGGGGGGGTTCGTAGAATAACCCCTTTTGGTGGGTTAAGCCAAAAGGAAACTAACCAAACCAACAAATGGAGGGGGGGTTCGTCTAGAATAACCCCTTTTGGTGGGTTAAGCGAAAAGGAAACTAACAAAACCAACAAATGGAGGGGGGGGGTTCGTCTAGAATAACCCCTTTTGGTGGGTTACACCAAAAGGAAACTAACCAAACCAAAAAATGGAGGGGGGGGGGTTCGTCTAGAATAACCCCTTTTGGTGGGTTAAGCCAAAAGGAAACTAACCAAACCAACAAATGGGGGGGGGGTTCGTCCAAAATGACCCCTTTTGGTGGGTTAAGCAGATATGCCTGGACCCTCGAAATCTGTCTAAAAAAAAGGAACCCGCCCCCAGATTTTTGGGGCAATCACCCATTGTGAACCAAGTGGGTGTGTTCGAGTTGGGCTCGACTATTGTTAAGCGGACCCCTTTTGCTGGGTTAAGCCAAAAGGAAACTAACCAAACCAACAAATGGGGGGGGGGGGTTCGTATAGAATGACCCCCTTTTGGTGGGTTAAGCAGATATGCCTGGACCCTCGAAATCTGTCCAAAAAAAGGGAACCCGCCCCCAGGTTTTTGGGGCAATCACCCATGTTGAAGGCCGCCCCCAGATTTTTGGGGCAATCACCCATTGTGAAGGGTGTTTCGAGGGTCCAGGTGGGTGTGTTCGAGTTGGGCTCGACTATTGTTAAGCGGACCCCTTTTGGTGGGTTAAACCAACAGGAAACTCACCAAACGAAAAAATTGGGGGGGACCCCTTTGGTTGGTTTGAAAATGAAACTGAGACCAGCCATTTTTGGGGTCCCCTCATGTTGAGACAAACCCATATGACTATGATTTTAAATAGGGGACCCTTTGGTGGACATCACGGGGATTAAAAAGTCCACCAACCAACCTCTTGCATTGTGCGTTTTTGAGGGTACGCTTTTCAGGTTGGCATTCAAAGTTGGACACCAAAAGGACAACCACCATGTTTAGGGTGCTTACTTAACAATGAACTGGCTGTGTTGATCGGGGCAAGCAAAGAAGCAGAACCCGAGCTTGCGAGCCATGAGGGGATGAACTTTCTACTACAGCAAATCAACCCCCTGTTTGTTGTTTGATCTCAAAACGTCCTGGAGCTTTTTATGGATCGCGAAACTGTTCCAAACTCAAGACGTTTAAAGGGAACTGCCTGAGTGGATTGGCCAGAAAAAAGCAACCACGCTCAAGTCCGAAACGGTTTTCAGGGAGCGAGTCGTCAGAAAAAAAAAGACAGTCGCACCACGTGTTTCGTTCTTCTTCTTTTTTTGGGGGGGCTTTTGTTGTTGGCTTTAAAAGGAAACCAAAAGGACAGGCTTGAAATTTTCAGCCATATACTTGATTGAGTCACAATCAAACCATGGTATTAAAATGGTCCAGAATCATGTAAAGGATTGAGAAGGCGGATATCCGCACCCCATTTCTGGTTGGGACTGTCCCTTACCTTCACTTGCCCGGGTTTTGAGCAAGTGACTCACCAAATCAGTCAGAAATATCTGGTCGCACCATGTGTCTTTCTTTTGGGTGGTGCCCCTCATTGGTTACTTTTTAAAGGAACCCAAAGGACAAAAATACATGCTTGCACTCTCTTTTTTGGGGGTGCCCCTTTTGGTTGGTAAAAGTAAACCAATGGAGATCCTTGACCCATAATTCTCTAAGGTTTGATTCCGCATTCTCTTCACTCTTCGTTCTCTTTAGAAACCACCTATTTGTCCATGGTTTTGCCCCATTTTTTGAAGAGAAGGATCCCTGAAGAGAATGGGGAGGGTTCAGCTAGAACTTCACCTAGAAAATACCTGGTGGCACCGTCTTTTTTGGGAGGGGGCGCCCCTTTTGGTTGGTTCAGGGCACCAAAAGCAGACGCCCCATGCTAAAAACCCACGGCTTACAGCGGTCGGGCCCCGCGTGGCTCGAGCCGCTTCCGGGCTTCCCGGCGATGGGCTCTTGCAAGGGCGCCCCATGGCGGTTGGGCATTGGCCAGGGCCTGCAGCAAACGGAAGGCCGTGGGACGGGGGGTGGACTCGTTCGTTTTGCTTTGGCGCCAGGGCGCCCGGGGGAAAAACAGGCAAAACGCATCCAGAAGTGGTATGAAAGGCTTTCAAACAAGGGAGCAACACCCCACGTCTAGCCCTTGTCAAACCAAGGGTCCATTGCCGTTCTGTGATCAGAGGATCGGAAGGGGTGGTGTGTCTCGTTCAGGAATTTGGTGTGTCTCAAGTGAACCTTCAACTTGGTTGGTTTCCCTGGATAACACTGACCAAAATAGGGATCCCAGAAGACAGACAAGCCATTCAACGGGGTTATGAGGGGTTCGGCCTCCCAAACCGGCTGTAAGTGCTGGCCAAAGTAGCTGGCGAGCCTGCCTGCTTCACAAGCCTTCAAAGGCGTAACAAGTGCGATCCCCGACCAGGTCGAATTTCCTAATCCATCCCCGCGCAACATCGCACGAACACACCCAGGGCCCCGCACTTGCCCTTGAGATCCGGCTGTTTGGCGGCGTAGGGATTGCTGGAGTCCGTGCACCTCAGCGATCCATGGTTCGCATGCTTAGGTCACATGCGGATGGACGAAAAATACACGCCTTCTCTGTGCGATCGTGCACACTCTCACTTTTGAGCGACACCCGTAGGCCTTGGCCTTTGACAACTGCCAACTATGCCCAGCACTTCCAGCATTTGTGAAAAAAACAGCATGTTCAAAAACAACTTCCAGCATTTGTTATTTAAAAACATGTTCCAAAACAACTAACCGTCTTCTTTTGGGTTTTCGGTGGCTTTCTGGAAAGAAGGACCCGGGGCATATGGGAACTGCAGCAAGTAACTTGAGGAAGCCATCATGTGGGCATGTCTCAAAATAGGAAACCCCTTTGGGACCTTATTGAATGGACTGCAAGAAGGACACCAACCATGTTTTGGTGTCCCCTTTTGAGACATCTAATTAGAATCTAGGGGAAAAAAACACTGGTTACTGGCCATGGGGACAAAATATGACAAAATCCCAGGGTTCCTTATAGGTGCAAGAACTTGGTCCATCCACAGTAGTCTGGACATCGGATTTGGGGCAAAAAACCGACTTGGGGCGACCAAACCACCCCGACTTTTGCCCAAGACCGTCTGGGCCGCGAAGCTTGCCGTCCGTCCAGGAGCAAACGCCGCCCCAGTCCTAAGATCGGCGGGGCGACTTGGAACTGCGCCAAGTTGACCAAAGTCAGCCCGTGGGTTGAAGGGGCTTTCGGGTGCAGACATCTATTTTAGGAGCCTTGGAAACACCCTTGATCCCTAAGTGCTAAAGGGAAACACCCCCCCCAAATTGCTCAAAAACGAAATCATGACCCCAGGGGAACAGCAGGTTCGGCAGAACAACCCTTCAGTCCAGGTTTTGATTTGCTATGCCTTGAGCCCAAGGCGACCAAGGGGTAGACAGGCAACGGAGTGCCATCCAGGCACCAAGAAGCATCCCCCGCCCGAAGCCTCCCTGGAGCCCTGAAACCAGCCTCCACCCAAGGAGTGCGCCTCGAGGCCCGCGTTGGTTGAGTGCGTTCGGGTCGCAACCCATGGGCCCGATGGGCAAATCCAGACAGGTTTGTTTGTCGCCAGTGGCCCAACCACTCCAGCTTCGATGCAACTTTGACCCTTTGACCCTTTGACCCGCTGCAGAACATGCCCTGAAGACTTGAACTTTGGTTAAACCAAACCAAAGGAAAGCCAAGGTACGACCAAACATGGGGTCCTAAAACTGGGAAGGGACCCTCGTGACTGGAAACAAATCATTCACAAGGACCTCAATCAGGTCACAAATCTTGATGCCCACGGCCCTCTACAAGCCGTCGTCCCCCTACTCAACTTCCACGATTGAGCAACGCTTGAGCAGCGATCCTCAATGAAACGCAAGCTTGCGTCAACCCTAAACCTCAAATACAGTATGATAAACAACCCTGCAAAAAGCTAAACGGTTTGACGGTTAGTGGCGAAATTGTCAATGTTCAAAGCCCAAGAAATACTGGCGTGACCTTTTAGGGCAACCAATGCAATTTGACTTGTGCCATTGATATTTTCTTCACACAAAGGGCAGGCAATAGATTTCAGGAGTATCCAGGACCTGTGGAATTTCAGCAAGACAAAAAGAAGCATACCGCAATTCAATTCCTCGACACAGATTGGGTCAAGGGAGTCCACGGCGAATAACACAATGGTCTTTGTAAGTTAATTACCAAGAGTATGTTTCGGCAAAAGGACCCCCAGATTCAGACTTTGATAGCGACTAGTAAATACTCCGCGCGGTAAACATGGAAGTGCGCAGTGTCGCTGGAGGACTACGTTCCTCTTTACCTCCAATGGTTTGCGGATACCTCCGGCATCAAAACGCCACTCGCCAAGCGTCGCCGACAGTGAAGAAGTGGATCTGGCAGTGCGCTCGCGGGCGAAACGGCCGTTTCGAGAGTCAAGCCACCAGACCATCAGGCACAAGGCGTATGCAACTGAGCCGTTCAAAACATGGAAGCTGACAGGGACCTGCTTCACTCCAGGGAGAGAACAATTAAAAACCACCCACTTGCTGCAAAAAGAACATCGAAATAATTATACAATATGGCTGTGGGTCAAAACCGTTTGGGGATCCCATTTTGGGGGTAGGTGCACCACCCATTTTAGAACCAGTTTGGGTGGTTTGGGATTTGGATTTTGAAAAGCCCATGGCCATATTATAACCTTCACAGTGTGGCTCAGTGGGGCCCGGGTCGCCTCGTCCTCGTCGAAGCAGAGCGATGGCCAAGTCATGCCGTTGTAAGCCATGGCGGAGTCGGGCCTCAAACGCGCGCGGTTGCTTCGAATGGTTCGATGGGGAATCACAACCGACCGACCGACCGACCAACCGACCAACCGACCAACAGACCAACCGACCAACCGACCAACCAAGTGACCAAGTGACCAAAAAGCTGGGTTTTCTTTTGGGGTCTGCCTTGTACCGTCCAGTTCAACAAGGGCCCAAGTGGAGCGCCTAGGGGATGGTTTAGTTCGGGGTTACTCCTGAGCACCACTTTTGCTCTGTTTTTTTTTCTGGAGAACCTGACAGAGGGTAGAAGAAAGTGGAAGACCCGGGCGGTCGCTTTCTTGTTCCCTCTTTGGCCATGTGTCTTTCCGAAAATACCCTTTTGTGGAGCCACGGGGATACCCGCCATCCTTCTTGGGTTCCCCCGTGCTTGCGGAGCCAAATGCCAAATGGACCCTAGACTAGGTCCTCCAGTGGAGAGGATAGAATGAGGGTACCCTTTTTCTGTAGTCTATTTTAGTAGGGGAACCCAAAAAACCAAAAAGAAACGGTAAGACCGATACCCAACAAACACCCCACCGGCCGGGCTTTGGGCCTTTGCCAGGGGCCCCGGCATGCCGGGCTTGGCCGCAGGCGCCGGCATGTCAGAGCAGGACACCGTGCAGGCCTCACGTGGCTTGAGGCTGGCTGCTCACACCGAAACGCCCTTGGCGCTTTGACCTTAGTGCATGGATCATAGGTGGATCCAGCGTTGCACGGCACCGGACGTATCTGTGGATGGACGCAATCCTCTTAGGCACCACCGTCCAAACACCCTGGGATGCTGATTCCCTGACGACCAACAATGAATTCAACCATGCTTTCGATCCAGAGTATGGGCGGAAAAAAAGCTCCTAGGTTGCACCTATCATAACTTGTGCCGTATCCAACTCCACTGAAATTACAAGGGCCCTTGTAGGTTTGAAATATGGCCACGGAATACGGGAGCACCAAACCCCCACGCATGTGAAGATTCTACAATACTGTCAACCCAAAAGAAAGGGACCCAACCATTGCTTAGACACTCTGTTCTGCCCATCATGTTCTAGACTGCGGATTCCATCAAGTGTTCACTCCCATGGCACTTCCAAGGTGGAATCCACGGATGGGCATCCCCCCCCCAAAAAAAACGAGCATCGCTTGGATGATCAGCACAGCGAGCAAGTGATTCGTCCTGCTCGCCCATTGATGCGATTTATTTGTATAGGTGGCAACCAACGGAACAACCTTCAACCAAAACTGCAAGTTACCCTCAAGTCAACTAACATTGAACCTGACTGAGGGATCCTGCTGGGGACGATTTTCTTTTCAAACGGACCCATGAAAAACTTCCTGGTTGCTTACTATAGTGGCACAAGGGGATTCAATCATTACAACCCTTGTTCACTCCTTTGTGTGCATGGTGTGTAGGGTAGGGCAAATTCCAGACGCACAAATAGCTGTTGGCCACTGCCAAACCAGGCACTCACCAGCCTCAGTGGGTCCTTGCTGTTCTTCTTCTGGGCTCTCGAAAGCCCTTCAAGTTTGCCCTGGGTAGATCTCAGCCCCGTCAAAAGGTCGAAGAATTCAGCCAAAAGCACACCAAAACCAAGAAGTCTTACAATATCTTAGAATTAGCATTTGCAACCCCCTGTTTTGTGCGTGACTAACTAACTTCCTGTAGAAGTTCCTGCTGGTTCTGTGAAAAAGCTAACTGATTGCATGCAAGCATAAGTCTGGCGTTGTAAAGGTCAACTGAAGGGTAAACACCCATGATGCGTCCTCATTGGGAGCCTCGGGTTAAGTGTTTCTCTGTGTAGAGAAAACCTGGACTATGAACAACCAAACTTCCTTGAGAGCCTTCTCGGATTAGTCCGGACCACACTAATCAGGGGGCGGTCGTTTGAGGGTACTAGTCACGACCATACTAGGCAACCAGTTCTTACATGATGGCTCCCTTTGGTTACTTAGTATAGTGGCAACTGGAAGCAATAGGCAAAACCATGTGAACAACTCAGATCATTGCTCTATTGGTAAAGCTGGCTGCACCTCCTCCAGTGCTTGGATTTCATGCTTTGCTGGCCGCTTAGAGTCTAAAGGGAGGGGCCCCCAGGTGTGGTAAAACCAAACCAGCCTTCTACCCAGGCATGGATGATGGACTTCAGATCAACCACCACTGAATTGGTCTTTCCAAACAAGGGAGCTGCTAGTAGGAGGGGGCAGATTGCTGTTTCAAAAAAGAAACACATGGTATAGATTGTGGCTTGGTGCTGTGTAAGGAACCGTGCAAGGGACCCACTGGGAAACCATATCAGGAAGCTATTTGCTGTGTTTTGGACACGTGTTTTGGGCACACACTAGTTCTGGGGCTTCATACTTCTCCGAGCTGGAAACGATTTGAGCCAACCCCTAGAAAAGGGTGTCTGTACATCTTTATGGGCGGCAACCAAATGGCGTGGTCTTCAGATGACATCAAGCGCCCTCAACAATCTGGGTAAATTAAAATACTTCACCAGCCTGAAATGAGGCGGTTGGGGGGCTATTACCAACATAAACCACCATTTGGCGTGAGGTCGTGTGAGGTCGTTATAAGTCACCCAGAACAATACCAAAGTCTGAGGGGATCAACCGACGCGCCTGGCCGTTGAGCTTGTAGGGGTCAGAGCATCCCTGGCCTCGGCACGGCTGCTTATGTGGGCCCACCACACAACGCGAAGAGCCATTTTCAAGCTGGGTTGCTCCTCAGATCCCTAAGTCCCCACTAAACATTAAAAGGCTAAAAAGCTAAGGAACCGGATGGATGGGAGCCACCAAGATCTACTCCAAGAGCCATTTTCAAACACAACTCAGAGCTTTCTGTAAATGTAGCCAAGCAACAAAATAGGAATTAAACAGCCGCGCGTGGGAGCACATCGCTCCCAAAGATCCCGCTTGCCAGTTCGCGCTGATCCCAAACGCTTGGTTCGATTTGGGGAGTTTTGGAATCGCCGAATCATCAAACTGGGCTGCCCTCAGATCCCCCGCTAAAAGTTTAACTTCTAGTGGGTTAAATGGAAACTACCACTAAACCCTAAAAGGCTAAAAAGCTAAGGAACCGGATGGATGGGAGCCACCAAGTAAAACGAACAGCCCTCCTGGGCTCCACCTCAATCGCGGAACTTTGCGCAGTTGTGGCACTTCCTGGTCTCCGCCTGTGTAAAGGCCCTGTAAGCCGTTGTTGGCAAAATCCCTCAAACCGCCTCATGAATTCCGCAGGCTCTTTCGAACAGCCGGAAAATGACTCAGCCCTCGTCATGAATTCGAAAGACAAGAACCAGACCACATTCAACAAGTATGTTGAAGGAAGGGTTGAACAGCTGCTGCGGGAACGGCTCTGCAGAACTTGCTCCATATTTTCTACCCTCACAACTGTTTCCCGAAACCTAGCAAACAAACTCAGATGCTCCACGGTCATTTCAGCTTCGAACCACTGATGCAACTGGACCAGTTCGGAGAAACCAAGAGGTTTTACATCAATGATGGACATCCATGGTGAAACCTGGCGTCATATGGGTATGGGTCAAAATTACACCACCAGAAATCGGACCGCAATTGTTAGTCCATGTTTCCATTTACCAGGGTTCCATTTTAGGTACCAATTTTTGACCCACACCCATGTTATTGAAAAGACATGAACTGGGTGGCTGAAGTCACCGACAGCAACTCACATTGAGCCGTTGCAGCTGTTGCAAGCCAGGGTTGCCAATCTTGGACGAAGTTTAAGCAGGGAATCCTAGGTCTGACGCGGATTGAGCCTTTTCAACCATGTTTTTCTAGGATGGAACCCCAAACCCACATAGGGTGCCTCAAAATTGGGGATCCAAAAATGGTGTTGATTTCCCTGTGGCTTTGCTTTCAAGTCAGCCTAAAAAGGGTATCCCACAAAAAGACACGCCCTAATTCCATTTTCCCGGGGCGTGATGCGTTTACATCCTCAAGGTTTGCCTTTGGACCAGAGATCTGCCGAGCTTCTGATCTCTGGACCCTGTTCCGACCACCATACTTTCTATGACCCCGAAGGGAAAACAAACAAAACAAGACAAACAAAAAAGCTTCCGGAGGCTGAGCGCAGTTGTGGCTTGCGTTGCCCCTGGAAACACTGCCGGATCATAGATGACTAGCCAGGAAGGTGAAAAAAACAAAAACACAGAACGCGCTTTTAACATATCTGAGACAGCTATCATCTACCAAAGTACAACTTTTGCTAAGTGAACAGGTACAGGAACGTGATGGGCTCAAATACTTGAAGGAGGATTCTGGCATATCCGAAAGGTGCCCCGTCGCGAGTTGCCTATGTCGGCCATTCGATGAGATATTTTGCACCCACTCTTTTGTTTCTAGCAAAACCTACGGGAAGGAACAAACAACAAGGGGTGTTCTTCACGAAAACCAATCCAACAAAACGGAACGTGTGTCATCCGTCATGGGCAACCCATGAAACCGGGGAAACCCGCAAACGGGTTTCCACACGTAATGTCGGTTTTCATGACACGGTGGAACCACCTGGCCGCTGAATCATTTGATTCAAAAGCATCGATAATCAACTTCCGGACTTGGGTTGTGTTCAACTAGTTTACTCATACTAAGTATGCTTGCAGTTGCTGGAGTTGTTGCTTCATTGGGCAAGCAACCCCTCCAAAGAAAGCAAACCATTCGGCGTTTCCCAACCTGCTCTCCACCGCTGCCCTCTGAAAAGCCAGAAGATGCTCCCTTTGATCTTTGTATGAATGCCGAAAACTCCATTTTCTTTCAGTTTTCAGGGTCTCTCCTGGAACCACAACCCTTGTCTCTTCGATGGCTTCCAACCACCTCTTCGGGTGGTTCAAAACGTCCCGGCTTTCGCCAAGTTGCATTGAGTCTCGCCGCTGGCGCCACCGGTGTAGTAGCACCTGAGCTGCCAAAATCGTTTATTCTAGTGCTACCTTCCTCATTATTTCCAGGAATCTCAGGAATCCTTCTTTCTAGCAAACCTCCGGAAACCCAGGGAAACGGCCAGTTATTGAAAATAATGATGGTTGAACAAAAATTGGGAATCAACCCTTCGAGTTTTAGGGTTTATATGGGGTCTCAAAATAGGGACCGGACCCCCCCCCAAAAAAAAAGGAAGAAGGTTGTCTTCCTTTTAAGGTTTCCTTAAGTCGCTCAAACTTCTGTAACCCAGCCTTTCAGCCATCTTGCAGCCTTTTGAAGACCCCCCGCAAACTAGCAACAGCTCCTGGCCGAGGCCTACGACCAGCTTGGACATTCGTAAGGCAACGAGTGGGCCCAAGGCGTGGCACAAGTCCAATCCGTTTGGCCTGTGCACATGTTGCAAAACCGACTTACATGTCCTGCACTCTGATTGTCGAGTCCTTTTGTCAGAACGGCCCGGAGCAAGTGTGCGAACCTTCTGTGATATTTTTCGGGAACCACTACTCCATTCAAATCCAGTGGTGTCGCAGACATGATGTACGAAGTGGCAAGGCAATGGACACAACCTTGCTCTTTGTTGGTTGTTCAGTTTAACAGCGTGTTTGCCGGTGAGTGAGCGTTTTGAAAATTTTGCCTTGAGGGTCTTTCGTGTAGTCTCTTGATGCTCTCGCGTTGCTTCCTCGAACACGGAGTGACCAAGAACCGTGCAGAGATCTAGCGACTTTCAAGCAGGGGAACATGCACAAATGCCTCGATTGTGAAAATTAATGCAATCATGATTAACTTCCTGTCGAACGAATCTCCTGAATATGGTGAATATAATCCCAATCATGACAGATTTGTGGGCGGGCGACGCTTGCATGTCTCCGCGATTTCATCGCCGAGCTGCACTCCGTCGCCTGAACAAGCGCCAGGCGTGCCTGGGACCCCTTTCCGACGACTCAAGTAGGCCATCCAATGAAATACGAAAAAGAAGAAGAAAAAAAACACCTCAGCCACAAAGACGGGTGGGTACGGCCAAAAGGATGTGGACACATGACAGGGCTGGAAGGGTTGCTCTCACCCTGGCCCATGGGCAAGCTAAAACCCGCTTGGCAAACGAAGCCCGTGTTTGATTTCAAAGAGGATCAGCCCGTGTTAGACCCACTGGAAACCAAACCATCCCTGTGTCGCTTTGTAACCCAAACCAGTGGGAGAAAACAGATGGCACTCTTTTAGCCGAGGCACTGATTCCATATTTTTTCAAAAGGGTTTCAGCCCAAAGGGTTGCACCCCAAACTTCATAGCTTCATAGCTTCCTTCCCCAACCCTCTCCTCTGCCACAGGCTCAGGCGAGGGGCGCCAGTCAGGCGCGTTACTCCCAAACCAAGAGCTGCGAAAAGGCACACAATGGCCACCTCTTGGTTGACGTTGGAAGGGGAGCAAAAAATCATGTTTTAGCAGTTAAGTGAAGAAATCCCACTAAACCACAACGAGCAAAAATGGGGAAAAACTCTTTCCCAACAACAACCACCTGGGAAGTCCAAGGGCTCTCCCGGTCGCAAGCGGGGAGGCGGGGAAGCGGGGCCCCGGCTTGGTGCAGTGCCCGCGCTTCAAGTCTGCCGGGCAATCGATGGGACCTGGCGCAGGAATGCAGCTCCATGCTCCGTCGCGAAATCTGCGAAGCCCTGCTCAAGGTGAATAACTCTTGGTGGTTTAATGGAAAACCCCTTCGTTGGCGAAAAGTTCTAGTCCTAACATCCAAGCAACATGCACCAAAGCTTAAACTTAGTAACATCGCCATTCTTAGGCCCTGGCGTTTGTCAAGCACTGCTTTGTTGACTTTCTGGGTTTTCAGTTTCCTGCAGTAATCCCTATGGGCCCATTGGGTGGATGATCTCAAGAACATGACCGGATCTTTCTACCGCGCCATAAGGCGGACCAAACGCCCGGGAAACCTGGTTGTGAGAAGAGCCATGGCTGAAACTGCAGAAATGGCGAGTCAACCCCTAGACCCATAGCATCCCATAGCCTTTCGTGGGCCTTCAGCTTAACAGCCGGCCTCCAGAACTCTGGACGGTTTGCCCCAACCGCAACCAGGATACCAAGCTATGGCAACGGGTCACCAAACGCACAGCTTGGCGAGAGTTAGACTTTAGGTCGAGGGCCCTGGTCACGTAAATAAACCGAAAGCATTTCGAGCCACGAGAGTGGCTGCCTGTCTCACTCTTTTTAGGGTGACCAACAGAAAACCACCGTATCAGTGTTGTTTGGGGCAGGTCTCAATTTGGGGGCGCATTGGGTTGATAAAGCAGGAAACCAAAGAGAAACCACTTTTCTTGGCAAGGGTGGAGGGGTCCACTCCTTAAGACAAACCCACATCGTTGGACTCGGATAATTTTGCCAAATGACTGGTCGACTCCTGTTCAGGCAAGAAAACAAGCAAGCAAACAAACTTGCCAGCCAGCCAACCAACCCGCCAAGAAAGCAAACCAGTTTGAGGGAGAGCCCAGCCTGCTGGCTGGTTCGGATGGGTGGTGGTGGTGCTGCTCGTCGTTCCCGTTCCCGGGCTCGTGCCTCGGTCGGGTCTCACATTCTTCCGGGAACCGACCGGGTCGCTCGCACGAGTTGAATCGGGACACGTTAAACAACCACCTACACCACTTTCAGGCGCAAAAGCCGCCATGGCAGCACTGACAGCGGAAACATGGCAAGTCGGGTTTTAGAGTTTCACCAAGGGAAACAACACTTTAAAAGCCCTTTACCACTGATGCGTATCTTCTTCTTGACTGCCCCCCCCGCCTTCTTGTGGCTTTAAAGGGAATTGAAAAGGAACACCACCATCCAATGGATGGGTCCCCGAAAAAGACAGACCTTTCAGGGTAATGCGTCCATTCCAGGGCAATGTTTCCTTTTGGCCTTCCCTGGCTTCCGACTCGACTTCGCAAGTCGATTCTGCTGCAAAACTTCACATGGAACCCGATTGCTCAGAGCGGGCGGGCCGCACATCACCATTGCTTGCGTCCCAACACAGAAAGAAAACATCGTGTAACTGGGCACTTTGTCTCGCGTGAGCACCCCGTCGCTTTGAGTGCGGAAGAAGACGCTGCCGGCCTTGATGGCCATGCGGCAATCGATTTGCAATTCCAATGGACGATCAGCACGCACCCCAGAAACGTAGTTCTCATCTGTGCTTGCTTTGTCGGCAAAGAACACATGGGGCCGCCCCGATGCATTTTGTTCAACTCCGCCAGGGATGAGCCCATTCTTCATGATGCTGGCGAAGTTCCTCTTGTCGGTGCGGTGGTAGAGGACCGTTGGCGGATTGCTATTGACATCCCAACCCCTTCCTATACTTGAGGTCCTCACCAGGGTCAACAAACCATTCCTTGGCGATGCCCTCGTCATAGCTTTCCATAGCTTTAGAGGAAATTCCTCTCGAAAACTTTGAGGGACCTTTGTTGGGGCGTGGTAAAACTGTGTAAAGGGGTGTCCAGTCAAAGACGTGGCTATGGGACCGCAAAGCCACGCATGCATGGCAGCTGGGAACGCTCACTTCCGATGGCCAAATGTCTAAACATCTTGCTTACCATCAATGATTTACATGGAAAAATGTCTAAACTTCTTGCTTCTGGAAAACGCAACAGCTCAGGGCAGCCCCCTCTGTTTTTATGCCCTCCAAAGCCCTGCACAACATTTCTACCAGGTCAAGTTGCTGCACTTGCAGCTTGCGCGCCGATTGATGGAATTCCCAATGGGTAGCCCTTCGATGGAAGTGGTTAACTATTGACAATTGTTTGGGCCCTTACATTAGTTCCCTGAGTTTCATGGGCTATGCATGTAAATGGAATGTTGTCTGGGTTCCATGTAAAATTGTATATAGGGGGTAATCCCCAAGTTCAATCCCAAACCCCCTCTTGATTCAAACTGAGACCCAGCAAGAAGGGCTTCTGCCGAAGGGACACATTTTGGTATGTGCAAATCACCAGTTGCCCGCAGTTTTCGCGGCTTTCCTTGTGATTCAAGTGCTTTTCCACCTTTAACCCTAGGAGTTAACATATGTCCTTTGGTCCAGCATTTGAGTCAATGTCTCAGATCTTTCCAACCTTCTCCCAGCTTTGTGATCCTCTAACTGAATCCCTCGCCGCGCACACCGCGCACGCCGCGCACGCCGCGCATCGCGCGTGCAGCCGGGCCGCCGTCGTTTCCGCAGCCAGCCAAGGTGAGTGCCAACACACACAGCGCGGCTCCTGCAACCTGAAAGGCTGGGAGGCTGGGACTCATTCGCTCGCCAGTCGCAGCTTCTCGCAACAATTCTGTCACTTTTTGTTTGTCGGTCTTCGAAAGGGGGAAACCGAAGGGGAAGCCAAACATGTGCAGGGCAGGGCATCTTCAAAAAAAGACACCATGAGATAGGGAACCACATTGGTTTTGGAGGGAAACCACAAGGACATCAAATATCTGGAGGGCTCAATGCTGCCGAAATCATTGGAATGGGGTGGAAATCTTTGAAACCATTCGTCATGATAGGAGCAACAGGGCAGTCCTGAAAAACAAAAACATAAACAAAACATGCAACCCAAGAGTCTCTACAAAATTGCGTTGTTGTCCATTCAAGTAATAATTAACAAACCATCGCGTTGGGCGTATATCATTTCCAGGGTGGAAGCTACTTCATCAGAGATCCGCATGGCAAATACGCGCCTCAGCTCTTAGCTCGAAGGATTCAGCTTTCCAGATGCAAAAGCCGAGAATTCGTCGGTCCAACTGAGTCCCTTGAAACAAATCATAATTAAACTCCAACTCCACCTGTGGAAACCCGCAGACATCTTGTTGAATTGGTCGGTTTGGGTCACACCATCGTGTGTGTGTGACAATGCCATCAGTAGCTTTCAGAGTTCTCCATGGCTTCAAAGGTTGGACTTGAAGGGAAAGGCTTCTTTCTATCCCCCTCTTCAGGTGCCATGACAAAGCTATGCTGCATAGCGAGCTTCATCACCATGGGCCGAAACGAAAAAGAACAAAAGGGAGCAAGCTCGATCGACCCCAGCAGCACAGCTTTTGAGAATTCAAAACCGTGCCATTTTGCCTACGCCTTTTGAGAAAACAGCTCCTGGAAAGGCTTCCGGCCCCCGAGCTACCGTGGGATCTAAACTTTCTTCGCAAACCAAGGAATAAATATCAGCTTGGGACCAAGACAAGAACACGGTTGAAGGAATCTTGTTCTGGAAAGTGTCTTAGAGTTCCAGAGTTGGAGAAACACGTGTTGTGGGGAGGTCTGGGGTCCCACGAGCATGGGGGAGCATGGCAGATTTCGTCACGTCCCCCCGCTTTGCCTTCTTCATGAGGAAACACACACCTGGCGCTGCATCATGTTTGTGCCCTCGTTGGCTCAGAGCGTCGCCCAATTCTGGGGAATCGCACATGCGTTTGGATTGCGCGGGAAACAAGGGGGATCCACGCGGTGTTTGTATACAGAAAAGCAAAACCAACCCTTACATCTCCCCCCATACGCACGGGTTATGTGTCAAATAAGGGGATGCCCCGAAACAAAATGTGTTGCTTCCTCTTGGTTTCCTTGTAAAGCAATCCCGAAAACGGATGCCCTCAAATGACCACACCCCCCAAAATCAATCAAGGGAACCGATCCACTTTCCTTACAAACTGCTCTCTTCTCTTCTGTGCAGACCAAAACCAAGGCAAAGACACGACGTTTGTTTCTGTCAAAGATTGTAACGCACCCCGTGTACCAAGTTAGAATTTGGGCCCCTTTCAAGGGATGAGCGCATTTGCTTCGGAGCGGGGCATCTGAACCCTAAATGCCCTATTATAATAAATGTTTGCCCCCAGCCCATAAAAAATCTCATCGGGGCCGTAGGTTTTGTGGGAAAGGATTGATCTTTCATCCAGCTTGGCTAGAGCGGTTCTGCAGGCATCTTTGAGACCCTAGATGTCCATGGGTGAAAATCCAAATCGTACCCCCAGTGAACATCCCAATCCAACCACTAAAATAGGTTCTAAAGCGGGTGGTGAATTCACCTACCCCAAAATGGGAGCCCAAAACGTTTTTGACAACAGCCAGATCTCCGATTTCGGTGGCCTTCCCGAATTGCCCTTCTCAAGCTTCGGATCGGCTCCGTTTCTCCGTTTCTCGTGCCGCCTGTCCAAGGGTCTCACGCGGGCGAAATCTCAACGCCAGTGGTACGCGCCGCCCAAGGTCGTACATGAGTGACTTGCATCAGTTGCTGTTCTCGTAACTACTCAACGGACACGTCGGCGCCGTTGCAGCAATCGGTAGATGCCGATGTCCGGAGACCCCCCGGCTTTTCTTCTCGAGGGGTTGGCAACCTAAGCACTGTTGGCATCCCTGGAAGCAAACAGGCCTCATTATTTTTCCATGGTCAAAGTCACCCCCTAAGTGGGTTAAAGGGAAACAACCCCATTCTCTGACTGATCACCCCCAGAAACCGTCATAAATGGGTATGGGTCAAAATTAAGCCACCAGGGGACCGCAGGTTTGAATCCATGGTTCCACTTACCAGGGTCCCATTTTGGGTACCTATTTTTGACCCACAGCCAAATAAAATGACCCCAGGCAAAGGAGTCTATGGTTGGAATCTGGATCCATAGCGACTAAGGGCAATACCGCACTCATCTCAAACTTGGTGCAAGGGGGCGAAAGGAGTACTCCCTAAATTTCAGCCGGGATCAATACAACCCTCGTTGATTAAACGGGGGATGTCCGATTTAAGAGGGAATCCTGAAATCATTTGAAGAAGCACCCCCCTTTTGAGTCCGCCTCACTGCTTAATCCGGGCTCCAACACTTACGGTCTCGACACTTTACTTCGCACGAAAAGCTCCAGGTGTCTGAAACTGGTGACACGAGCCGACGCTTTCAGACAGACAAACATAAATGCTCTGGGCTTGTAAGTTTCCATTTGGCTAAGGCCCCAGGAAAACTAAAAATATGTCCGGTAGTGATGAATTCCATTTAAGACCAACGAAGGAAACAAATACATTCTTAAGCAAATTCAATGGAGGTAAGTAGGCTGGAAGAGACGTCCTCGTGTTTTGGGGCTTGAAACCCTATTAGCTCGCCATGAACCTCTGGAGAGACAGCAAGTACCCATCGAGGCTCTTTTTGGTCTACGAATTCTTGTAGACTAGCCTAGTTGCAATTCGGAAGGGCCAAAAACAAGAGTCAATCGCTTTGGGCCCGCAAATGAAGCTGGGTCTGAGAAGGCTGTTTGTGTTCGAAAAAAGTTGCTGTTCGAGGCAACACCAAACACGACAGTTTACTACGCAAACAAAACGCACAGAATGCAAAACTCTCGTTCTGTCGCTTCTAGTGTCCATCCCCATCCTGAGGTTGGACAACGGCCCAACAAAAGACGCGCCACTGGGTGTCATTTAAAACTTCCAACAGCTCCGAATCCGACGAATCCCTTGAGAACTCGGGCAAAACAAAAGAGCCCCCCATCCAGGAGAAAAAGCCGCCTGGTTGGCTGAAATTTCCGGAGGCCCGAGGCAGGACACGAACTCAAGTACAAGCTCGCGGGGATTCGGCATCTATCATGTTTCCTGACGTAATTCAATTCTAGGGGTACCTTCCCCATTCTTTCCAGAGATCCTTCTTTTCAGGACCATCAAAAACCCTGGGGAAACAGCTGGATTTTTTAAAAGAACGATGGCTGAAAAGAATGGAGAATCAACCCCTAGATTAATCATACTTTGCCGTAAGTCAACTTAAACTAAGCTCCAAAAGACCTTCGCGGGCGAGCTCGCCTCTGAGCTCCTTGTGATTTGGTCTGCTTCATGCCTATATGGCATAGGAACCAAGCAATCAGCCAACGACTCGTGGGTACTTCAAACAAGAAGCCAGCAATGCATTGTTTGAACTCCAAGCCTTTTCTGAGATCGCAGGCACCAAATCGATGGACATTGGGCTAGTGGCAGGACGAAAGTTGACGCAATGGCTCTCCAGGTGTCCCGTCGTGCCTCAGGATTGTGCACCTGTGGCTGGAAGCGCTCGGCTTGGTTTGATGCGAAAGGCGAAAAGCTTTCGCGAGCAAGCGGCAGCCCAACAAAACATAGCAAAATCAACCTCAACAAAGAAACAAAGAAAACAAGAAAGAAAGAAAGAAAGAAACAAACAAACAAAGAAGCATAGATGTACCATACTCAAAGCTCCAAATTGTGCGTCAATGGTTGAGTCAATTTCTGCACACTCCAACTGTTAGATGTTTTATGAAGCCCGCATGCTTCCCACATCCTTCCCACGCTAACTGGCTTCCCTTCAGGGGACGTGTCTTAGGCTCGGTACCTTTAGCAACTGACCAACACGGCCCTGGCTTTCAGGTCCAAACACCTCCTGCCCGGGTCCAATGCCGGGTACATCAAAAACTCCGGCGGCGACGGTTTAAGGGTAAACCCAAACGAAAACCAAAGCACATTGTTAAGTTGGGCCCAAAATAAAACCATGGCACATCTTCAAGTTGAGCCTTTCCTTGATACATGCGAACCAAGGCCCCCGGGTCTCAGGTCGCTTTGCTTCGATCGGCTCTGGGCGCAAGCCAAGAATACGAAGGCCAACCATGCGGTGAAAACCAAAACCCCCCCTGCGACCTCGCCATACGGAGCCCTTCCGACAGCCAGCTGATCTTCAAGAGGACTTTTTCCGCAGATCTGAGTTAAGTTTAAACGAGGAATCAAATAAGCAAAGCACTGGCCGCCTCATGTTCATGTTTGGGAGGCTAATTGTTGCCTTTGTCCATCATTCACAACAGCGACAACAACCACGACCAGGGCCGGAGCCGCCACAGCCACATCAACCATTGAACACCACAAAGACATGCTCGTTCGATAGGGGATTTGAGGGAACCCCCGACAGGGCATCGGGTTCCGACGCACCCCCGCTTCCCCGCCTCCGGATCACTTGGCGTGCTCAATACGCTGAGCCGAAACTCGCGCAACACCCCGAAACTGGATGGCAACGGGAGTTGGCAGAGCCCAAATGCCCAAGTTGAGCTAAAAAAGCGGTGTCGCCATTGAAACACACGACTCCTACACTTGCTGGTGCTCAGTTGGGAATCTATAGGGTTTTTGGGAATATACCTATGGATCCCCACGTTTGGATGGTTCACCTCAGAGTCATTCAATCCATTCAGTGCAAGCCTGACACAAAATACCCATAGAACTCACAAAGCACAGGGCTTCTGCCGAAATTACTGGGACTAGGTGGCTAGGGACCATGGGTGAGCGCTGTGCGGGGGGGAAAGCCCAAGTGCCACAGCCCAAAACCAAGGGATGTCTGCTTCCAGGGACATGTGGAAACTCATTTGACATCTGTGATATGGTGAGACCCAGATTCCCATCTTCACTACTTGATCCGTTTCAAGGGGGCTCCCTTGGGCAAAGTTGGTCCCAAACCCAAGTTGTCCACAGCCATGATCAGGGCTCCTGCCTTTGTCTCAAGTCATGAGGCCACATGGGCCAACCCAAGCTTCCAGATCACGCAGGAAAAGAGTAAGAGTACGTATTTGGATCGCAAAAGGGAACCCCCCTTTCGCAACAACATCACAAGGAATAGTACCACAGGTTCGGGTCAATCAGGCTGGCTACCAAATTCTTTTGCCCATGCCCAAAGCCACCACTCACTGGCTGAGTGGATGGCTCACAAAAAGTCCAAACTTTATGTTTACCACTAAAATGGTCTTCCCAAAAAGATTCAAGTTCATGAACTCAGGAAGTGAGACCACCCCCCCCCAAAAAAAAAGTACGCGCTCTTTTGTTGGGCGACCTGAGGCTTCGATCACAAATCGGTTCCGACGGCGAACACGCCATGGGCGCGACGTATTTTCGAGGGAACTTTCTTTGCCCCTTGGCGAGGGAACGTCACCTTTTGTGGGGGGCACCTGGAGTCTCCTTCCGGCCCTTCAAGACTGCCCTTGTTTTGCGTAGATGACCCCATTTTATGAAGGGTCCAGAAGGAGACTCCAGATACCAATTTTGACACACTCCTAACACTCCGGATGTGCTCTTACGCCATAGGAACCAACTCGTCGCGTGCAACGACTCGCGCCCGCTCACGAGGCACCTCGGCGACCCGAGATCGACTCGCCAGTCGCCAGATTCGTCCAAAGCCGTGACTCGATTTGTTTTCTAAGGGGACGCCTTGATGGACATCATGTGAGTGGGATTTATGTCCACCAGCCACTTTTGAGGTGGTTCCCTGTGAAACCCCATAGCTCTTTGAATACCTCAACTAGCTTGAGTCAAAACCAGAAGGAATACCATCTTTGAGCTCCGCGCATTTTGACACATACCCACATGTTGGTTCATTGGTGGTTCCCATGGTTACCTATTCAGGTAGATGGAATCACTGAAAAGGCCATGCACCAATAGGTGCCGGTGTCCAGGATGTAGTCATCCACTGCACGAAAACTACATTGCAAGCAACACAGGATACCTCCACCTTCCAAAGGGTGCAAAAAAAGAGCCTGTTCAAGCACAACTAGGTTTTGTTTTGAAACGGCGGTTTTGTCAGGGAAGCGGCGATTCTTGATTTGGGACCGCCGGGTGCATCCGATGCTCTCAGCTGTCACGGCCCTGGCCCGTCCCTGTAGACAGCATCATTTCTGTCCCTGCGACGTGCGCCCCCTCCCACGCTTCCTCCCTTTTTCGTCCCTAGCCTGCTCGGCAGGTACGTGTGGCCGAATGGCTATGGATGCTCATGACTTTATTCCTGAAAGAGGCTGGCATGGGTTCTCCATAACGCCCAGCAGTCATTCTGCACGTAGGTCTGTGTGTGTGGCTACATCGGCTACGCTGAGATCACGCAGGCCTGGGGCCCGACTATGTTACATACATTAGTGTGGCTGCAGAAGGTTTGCCGGACCTATCATCGCAGCTTCACGGATCACTCGTAGGCTGCAGGATCAATCCCACCTGGCCATGGCTGAGGATTTGCTTTGGGAAGCTTTGGAAGGAAACTCAGTTGTCAGAAAAAGAGCTAGGCAGACTGGGCAAATAACAAGGTGGCCAAGCCTAGCTTGTGTGGGGCACCCCAGTATGAAGGCAGCTGTTCTGAATAGCGAAGCGCTTGGGTGCGTGGCGCAGTGGTGGTGCCCACAACAAGCACTTCCAGCCGCAGTTCCTGTCGGCAAGATGCGTACGCAGGTGGGTTGCGACAAAGCATTCCCATCCAACAGGTTTGTTTGGTGTTTTAGGATTTTACCTGGTACCTGCCCGCACCAGAGTTCCACCAAGTTCTGCGAGCACTGCGGAGTGGTTTGATTCACCAGGGTGGGTTTCACCAGGTTTGCGAGGTTGTTCGGGCTTAAGGTTCTTTGAGGGTTCCACCAGGTTCTCGAGGGTTCCATGAGCGTTGTACCAGGGTTCCACGGGTTCTGCGAGGGCTGCGGGGGTTTGAGGTGGGTTCCACACAGTTCCACCAGAGTTCTTGCCGCTCTGATAGTTTGCGCGCTTTTGGCAGCAGCTACGGTGTATAGCGCTTATTTGTCCACTGTTTCGTTTGCTTCGCTTTGTAAAACCTGATCGTCAGCCAGGGTCGGACTCGTTTTGTCGCGGCTTCAAACAACTGCTTCAAACAACATGTTCACTGAGCTTTTGAGTTTTTGGTGGAGGGTGTTCGAAGTAAACAGTTTGTAGTGGGGGATGTTTCAAGTTGACCCTGAGGTGAAGGCATTTAGGTCTGCAATGAACATGGAAGCTGACTTAGCCCTTCTAAGCCTAGACAGCTGGGGCTTGAAGAAGACCTTTACGCACCTGGTCCGGCGCTTCCTGGCAGGTTCAGAGAAACCCCGAGATGCTAGGCAGCTTTTGGCAGCCTTGCTAGTTCAACTCGTTGTTTCTTATTAATTGTGTTTGAGTGGAACTCCCTGCCAAAGCCCAAGGATCCAAAGCTGGACCACGTGTGGGATGTGTTTCGTGAGCACTGGGGAGATTATGAAGGAAACGGGGAAGAGGAGTCCAATGTTCCCAATGAGACTTCGGCTGAAGCAGAGCCTCATGTTGCCCTTGAAACCGTTCTGGCCATAGAAGATGGGTCTGTTGAGTCCTCCACCGAGTCTGTAGCGATGCAGGATGCTTACCAGGAACCGGTTGATGCGGCTCCTTCGTTGCTTGACTCACGCAACACTAGCGTTTCTGACGATGAGCCTTCCCAGATCAACCTGAGCCCAGCTAGCCATCTCTCCCCCAGTCCTCCCGACGTGCCTTGCATGTCATCAAGTCCTGCCGGAGCCAAGCGGGCGGCGGGCGATGACGATGATAGTGACGTGCGGGAGCGGCTCTTGATGGCCAAAATGGCACGGATGAGGACCAGCTGTTTTTTTGCCTCGTGGCTCCAGGGCAATACCAAACTTACTATCTTCGATCAACCCTAACATTTCTATTTGCACTTCTGCAATAGAAACGGGCAGCCCGAGAAAGGCTCTAGCAGGGGCACTTGGCAAACAAGAGGAGATCCCTTGTTTGGAGGCCTTGCTTGAGCAACAACTCCCAACTTACCACCTTTGATCAGTCCGCCCCGAAGTGTTTCAACTTTAAGGGACGTATTTTGGGCTTGGGGCTTCCCCGCTAAAGTGGTCAACCACAATCAGTCCCGTTTTATTTTTTGGGGGGAACCAAAAGAAGCGGCTTACAGCGCTGCACGCCTACACCTAAAAGACGGGTTCTCTTTTTGGTTGCCACCTCCCTCAAAATGATCATCGCGGAAAAGCACGCTTTGTGCCTGAGTTGCAATTGAGGGGATTCTGTTGACTGAGCTCTTCCCCCTTGTTTTACGCAGCGGTTTTGTGCTTAAGAGTGGGAACCCTTTTTCGCTGAACAAGGTCAACCCAGAAAAGTTCCCTTCTTGTACAAGATGCTTGCTCAGAAAACAAATGCAGGGGCAGCTCCTAACTGTTTATGTTGCCACTGTGAAGGATGTTGCTACACCGGCACCACATCCTGACTGGAGGCAATCCCGATGGAGGAGACTTGCTCAGCAGGGATCAAAAAACAACTTCACCCCGCTGAACAGGTTTCAGGCAAAAACACCGACAACTGTGCGGTAGGAGTTGATGCAGCGGACACTTTGCCCGTTGAAGTTCTGCTTCACGACCCCACGCAGACGAGCCCCGGTGCCTCGGACTTCCTGTCGAAGACTGCGACCACGGAGACAGGTGGGCTGGCGGACGCTGGCGCTACGCTTGCGGCGGGTGACGGGGGGACCATGCCGGCAGACCTTGCGACGCAGGAGGCGAGCGCGGGGAACTCCTCGGAGAAGGCAGCTTGCGCGGAGGAGCTGGAGGCGACAGCAGACGCAGAGCAGGCTGCTTGTGCACAGGAGGTGGAGGCGGCGGCGGCGACAGCGGAGCAGGCTGCTTGCGCAGAGGAGCTGGAGGCGGCGGCGACGGCAGGCGCTGAGCAGGCTGCTTGTGTGGAGGAGCTGGAGGTGGCGGCGATGGCAGACGCTGAGCAGGCTGCTTGTGCGGAGGAGCTGGAGGCGGCGGCGACGGCAGGCGCTGAGCAGGCTGCTTGTGTGGAGGAGCTGGAGGTGGCGGCGACGGCAGGCGCTGAGCAGGCTGCTTCTGTGGAGGAGCTGGAGGTGGCGACGGCAGACGCTGAGCAGGCTGCTTGTGCGGAGGAGCTGGAGGCGGCGGCGACGGCAGACGCTGAGCAGGCTGCTTGTGCGGAGGAGCTGGAGGTGGCGGCGACGGCAGGCGCTGAGCAGGCTGCTTGTGCGGTGGAGCTGGAGGTGACGGCAGGCGCTGAGCAGGCTGCTTGTGTGGAGGAGCTGGAGGAGGTGGCGGCGACGGCAGACGCTGAGCAGAAGCAAGAGCCGCGCTTGGCGCGCACGTCAGACCAGGAGGAGATGGACGCAGCAGCGGCGGTGAAGGCAACAGCTGAGCAGAAGCAGAAGCTGGCGGAGCGCTATGCGGAGGACGCTGCTGGCGGGGA